CAGAAAAATAAATAGTTTTAAAAAATGTTTGAATTTAATCATATCAAACAGAGCTACTGATACTGTTTATAGATAAAAAAATCTTTTATTGTTACTGAAGTACAAAACATATACAATAAATAATCTGCAAGAAAGGTTTATTAAAGAATTTGTGCTTTAAATGAAATATAGTGTAATCTGCCAATTTCAAACACTTTGGGAATCATCATTCAGATATTAATCAATATAGGCAACATTAAGCAGAAAAATAAATAAGATGACAATTTGTAAAATTCTGGTTTGTTAATCTTGACACTGAAAGGACATATTAAAAATTTATATAATTTGCAGGCTTATTAATTAGTAATAATGATAAATAATATGCTTGCCTGCCCTAGTGTTGTTTGCAAGTGAGAAATGCCAATAATTTAAGCTATGGTACTGCTGGTACTGGATGGCTGAAGCTGGTTGAGATGACAGCTTATTGCTCTGAGATCAAACAGAAAATCTAAGCAAACAGGAATTTTTTATGGGTGGTCTGTCTCGAATATGCTAAGCTCGTCCCCAACCACCTGGCTGTCACATTTTGGGTGTGGACAAACTCAATGTGTAAAGAAAAAAAGGGACCTCTTAACATCCATGGGACAGAACAGAAAGAAAAACTAATGGTGCTACAAACACAAATTAAACCAACTAACATTTAAAGCACTGATAACTGATAATTGTTGCATGTTATCAACCTATGATAAAAGCATTTTCCATGTTGACGGTGAAGAAGAATTTTCTTCTCCATTGTCAACATGAAAAAAGCTTTTGGAAATATGACAAACTTATTTGTTGTCAAAAAGTTGCATCTGCAAATCATAAGCAGGAAATTATTTTTTTTATGAACTTTAATTTTAGAAAAAAAATCATTGGTTTTCATCCATTGGCATCAGATAAATTAACTGATACGTAGATCCATTCCTATCTTCAGATGTGTATTAAAAGAATACATTTGGTTTTTTTAAAACAATTTCTTAAATTAAAACATTTTAATATATTAAAGATAAATATTATGATTACATCAAAATATATCTGAAAGGATACTGGTTTATATATAATCATGGAAGCGAGAAAGATCACTTTCTGTACGTAATTCCTCTTCAACCAGGGTAATTTTGCTATTTATAATTCAGCTGAAAACTTTCACATTTCATTTCATTTGTGAGCTAGTTTGCCAATTAGAATAGATATGTGAATGAAAAATGATCAGCAGTGCTTATATTTTTTCCATCCCTCGCACTGATATTAATATACAAACTTGCTAGATTATTAATTATGCTATAGGCTTACTGTGCTTATTACAAAGTTTTAACTTTTTCTTTACAAATTAAGACCTAACTAAATAATTTTTTATTAAAAAACGGACCATATCAGATGAAGCCATAAGAGCCTTTTTGACCAGGCTTCACATTTACAGGTTCTCAAAACATTTATTACAAAATATTTGCCAAATTTTATATTTGTTTAAAATAGACAAATGCTTTTTCAAGTCCCGAATGAATTAAAAAACAAAAAAATATTAAAATATTTAAGTGGCCTGGGTCTTGACTTCCAAGAGGTTACAATTATATCATCACAGATAGAAACTCAAAATTAAGAAAATTGTCAATTTATTAATTAAGAAAATTAACAGATAAATACACAGAAAAATAAATATTAATGTCTTCCATTAACTCTTAATTCTTTCATTCCATTTGGTTTAAGAAAACCAAAATGGAGCCTGCTCTTTCAAAACTGCATTCTCTCCCCCCAAAATGGAATTAGTTCCATGAGTAGTGCTTCCATTTAAACAGTTTTAAACGGCTGCTTCTCTCATTTGACAAAAGACCAGCCAACAAAAATGTGCTCGACAGCAACGTATCAAACTATAATTTGCACCCTTACTCTCTACTTTTATTATGGATTATCGTTTATCTAGATATCTGAATGTATACAGCTGTTTAAAAGCTTATTAAAGTTAAAATTTATAGAAATTCTACTTTTTGTAGGTTTTGAGTATAAATATTGTAAGTAATTATATTAAATTTCAAAAATTATTACAAATTTTCCAAATGACTAAACTTCGTAAGTTTAATGATTGAACAATGTAAACTCAGGAATATAGTCCTTATTAAGGATGTTACTTCTTGTCAGGCCTGTGTACAGGAGTTTTTAGAAGGGTGATATTTAAAAAATAATTATTTTATCAATGTATCAATAGTTCATTAATCATAGATGAAACAAAGTCTGAATCATATTAACAATTAAATAATGGAGCCGGATTTATTATAGGCCCACATTCTGGCTGATTAAATATACAAATTCTATATAAATTGGTTTAAAGAGGCAAATGCTTGAGCTGCCACCTTGTATTAAATTTAATAATCAGACTTAAATTTGAATATTCTGGAAGAAAAGATTGATCCAGAGTGGGACTCAGACCTGCAACTCCTATTTACCATATGGTTACAATTCATGCCACCAGTTTCTGTTAACCATCATGTCACTGGAGTGCATCTGAGAAATGACAAAAAAAAAGTAAGTGCAGCAGCTGCTAATTCCTTATCACTTTATACTAGTTCTTCATTATATTTTTCATTGATTTTAAGTAATCATTGTGGATGGGTGATGAAGTAAGGAAGTTGAAAACAGATACATAACCATAATTAGCCACGTTAATTTTGAAATTATGCTCTCAGAGTGCACTGCTGATTTAAAATGCAGGAAGAAATAAGTGGTAATTTCATGTAAAATTTTCAATGTTTCTGTGAAGACTAGGAAAACAAACTTGAATATATGTTTGAACTTGTGTTTTACGACACTTGTTTTGTCAACAACATATGTTTACATTAAAAAATATATATGATGTGCACATTTTTAAAGTTGTATAAATAAATTTTTTAAAAACTTCCACTAACCATTTTCTCATAGATCTGTTATATTCCTAGTCCCAAACATTGTTGGTTTTGAAGTTTTACTGTTCTGCCTATAATATTTTACCCAAACACTATACAGTAGAACCCCTCTAATCCGTCACCTTTGGGACTGGGGGTATGGTCGGAACGCAAAAAAGGTCGGATTATCAGAAAAAAGTAAAATAAACAATCTTCCCCTTTGTCCAGTCTTTGTAGCACTGCTAATTTTTCATTTAATGAAAGAGTAACGTGTTTACGTTTCACTCCTGACATGTTGAAAACACACACAAAACTGTACATGTACACACAATGTAAAACATATACTGTAATGAACACAGAAAAATGCCACGGACGGTGAGTCATGAACGAGTTGGGACAAGTTTCTCGACTCCGACCACGATCGGATTAACTGGAGTGACGGACTAGAGGGGTTCTACTGTAGTTACCTATCATGTAATATGTAAAACCATTCCTTCAGCTGTATTATTTCTCTGACACGGAGTTGCTGATAACTGCTCCTTACACAGGACGGTTATTACAATCTGATTGGCTATGTTTTATGGCTGAATGTTCTTAATTCATCATCCATTCTCTTTATTTGATGTTTGACCAGTCGAGCATTGAGAATGAACTGGTAACTCATGCTGTCTGGCCTCATATTATTCAGTAAGAACCAACTATTATCTTGTAAACCATATAATTGGAATTATCTACACTGTTCAATCATCAAGCTGATTACTTTTAAGTAAAACTTTTCATTGAAAATAATAAAATTGAGAATTGCTTCTTAAAAAAACCTTCTGCAGACTATATTTGAGACTTATTTCAACAACAAAGTGATTTTAATCAATTTATTCACATTCAATTTGTAGTGCACGTCCTAGTAATGTAATATTTACATGTTTCTAATGAATATTTAACTTTGTATTCTACACTTTGGACATTACTAAAATAAAATGAACCTTAAAATTCAGTTTTGTTGTTTAATTTTTTGACTTCCAAGAGGTTACAATTATATCATCACAGATAGAAACTCAAAATTAAGAAAATTGTCAATTTATTAATTAAGAAAATTAACAGATAAATACACAGAAAAATAAATATTAATGTCTTCCATTAACTCTTAATTCTTTCATTCCATTTGGTTTAAGNAAAATGACCTGAAAAGTGAGAAAAGTGAGCATACTTCAGAAAAGTGAGTACAAGTGAGAAAAGTGAGCGACTCCGAGGCCTGCATAGATAAAATATTTTCTCATATTAACAGGTTTTATTTGTGTTGTAAATAAGGATTCTCATGATGTGAATAGTAGGCATTAATCGAATATTCTGTTTAATTACATAAACAACTTATCACAATTTAAGGTTATTATGCTATAACTTAATTTAGGATCTATATTCAAGAAAATCTGATATTTTTTTATGGAACTTGGAACATGTGATCTGTGCTGTTTTGTTTATATAGTATGTATTTTATATCTTAATGCATAATCACTTCTCTTATGTGTCCGATGAAACTTGTTCATTATGATCTTGTAAGAAATCTTGTAGCTCTGCTTGTGTTAGAAAACTGGCCAATGGGACATTTCACTAAATTTCCACCTAACATACCAAGGCTCCTAACAACAGGCCCCAAACTATACTCTCCTAACAACAGGCCCCAAACTATACTCTCCTAACAAGAGGACCTAAACTAGTGGTTTCCAATTGAGGTGCTGCAACAACACTTCTCAAGTTCCATGAAATAGTGCTGAGCAGTGCTGTTACACTTCTTACATGTTTTATAAAAGTACAAAAAGTGTAATAACTCTTCATAATTGATAAAGCAATAGTGGTTCTGCAAAAAAAAAAAAAAAAAAAAACCAAAGTTGGGGATGCTACTATTAGAAAAGGGTTGAAAAATACTGCTCTGAACTGTAGCTTTTTTAACTTGTGTAAATCCAAGCACTAATTTAATTATTAAATGGATCAGAATGTAATTAATCAGCTTCAGATTTTATATTATAACAAATAATTGGATTAATATTAATCTATAAATAGAAATATGAATAAAATTTACATAATCTCTGTATGGTATATTAAAGATCCTAACAAAATGCAACTACAAAATGCAAATATATATAAGCAAATTATTTGTATATTCTTTATTTATAGACATAATAAATATCAATATATTGAATACATTATACATGATCAATATTCATTTATAATTAGAAAGAATAGCTCTCTATACAAAGTATACTATATTAGATGAGTAAGTATAAATCTGTAAAAATCATTTCAACTAAATTCACAAGAGAGAAATTAAACATACTGGAGTGTTTGGAATTCACGATTTGTCCATTTTCACCAATCATCATCCCTCTGAGAATAGATTTAAACATAAGTTTTAGCTCATTTACTAAAATATCTACTTTAATCACTTTAACCAATCGTCTTCGTCTTCATCGTCGTCATCAAAAAGTGGCGGCGGAGGCGGTTGAGGTATCCAAGACTAGAATGAAAAGAAGTATCTATTATTAATGAAACATTTCTCTTAAAAATTAATTAAACTTAGTTTATTTAGCTTTATCTTTGAGAAAAAAATAAGCTAATTGAGATTGTTAGCATATTAGTACAGCGATTACGACGGGAGTATAAGGAGATGGAAGAGGGATACCACTAACCATCACACTAGAGCCACAAGATGATTATTCCGAGCACAAAGAGACACAATGCGGCCCTAACTGCAGATCTCCACATGGGATCGTGGAGTAAGAGTGTAGTCACTCGAAGGAAAAGCTGCAAGCAAGGCCAAAAAAAAGGAGCTACTCAGTTTCTAGATTGGTGTTAGTAAATTATTCTTTGTTAGATGTATGCAAAATTTGGCAAGAATGAGCAATATAAAAATATTTTTGGATTTAAATATTCATAACAAATCTTTTAATGTATTTATTAATTATATATTTTAGAACAGTTGTATCTTCTTATCAATTTTCAAAATTAAAATATAATTTTATATAAATCTAAAATTTTATGGTTTTTATTTTGTTATGAATACTGTATTTCTTCATTATTATTATTTTTTTATTATTCCAGGTTTCACCATTCAAGACAGTACAAGTAGTCATTCATTTAAAGATTTTTCAATCTCGCCACTACTTTAAGTCAAATCATTTATGTAAACAGTATTTTATTTTATTTGTATGAGGCAAAATAAGTAAAATAAACATAAACAAAATTTCATAATAGTTATAAATGTAGGAGAAAGTCATACAAGTAAGTAATGGTATGTATTATCATCATTTAAAAGATTTAAACCTTGAGTGTTTAACTTAATTATTTTACATAAAAAAACATTAAAATTAATATAGCATGTAAAAATCACATTATTTTTTTATCCTCTGATATTATTACCATATTTAAAACAATAAGAACATTTATCAATTAAGTGATTGTGCTTTCTGTATGTTGACTGAACTTTCCAAACCTGAAGATTTTTTAAACAGTTTTTACACATACAAATCATAATTATTAGTTTAGATCAGTGGTTCTTGACCTGTATTCTGCAAATAAAGACTCTAATAAATTTGCAATAAACACTTTAAAATGTACTACAATATATTACTTTATTCATAGCAGTTCCATATTTCTATTTTATTCAATGAAATAATGTTTAATTAAACAATTCTGTGTTTACCATTCTTACAAAACACTGAAGCAATAGTTTTATTGCTTCAGTGTTTTGTGAGAATGGTAAACACAGAATTGCTTATGGTGTTTTGAATATACTGATGCTAATGTTCCACATAAAAAAGTATACAAATTGTGTTCTGTGGCTTCATAGATTGAGAACCACTGGTTTAAATCAGAAAAAGTATTTAAATAAATTACTAATATACTATACAGTACAAGCAAAAATGTTATAAAAGGACAAATATGGGAGATCCTAATTTGAAGGAGAATAAAAAAAAATTCATTAGAGCAGAAAAATAAATAGTTTTAAAAAATGTTTGAATTTAATCATATCAAACAGAGCTACTGATACTGTTTATAGATAAAAAAATCTTTTATTGTTACTGAAGTACAAAACATATACAATAAATAATCTGCAAGAAAGGTTTATTAAAGAATTTGTGCTTTAAATGAAATATAGTGTAATCTGCCAATTTCAAACACTTTGGGAATCATCATTCAGATATTAATCAATATAGGCAACATTAAGCAGAAAAATAAATAAGATGACAATTTGTAAAATTCTGGTTTGTTAATCTTGACACTGAAAGGACATATTAAAAATTTATATAATTTGCAGGCTTATTAATTAGTAATAATGATAAATAATATGCTTGCCTGCCCTAGTGTTGTTTGCAAGTGAGAAATGCCAATAATTTAAGCTATGGTACTGCTGGTACTGGATGGCTGAAGCTGGTTGAGATGACAGCTTATTGCTCTGAGATCAAACAGAAAATCTAAGCAAACAGGAATTTTTTATGGGTGGTCTGTCTCGAATATGCTAAGCTCGTCCCCAACCACCTGGCTGTCACATTTTGGGTGTGGACAAACTAAATGTGTAAAGAAAAAAAGGGACCTCTTAACATCCATGGGACAGAACAGAAAGAAAAACTAATGGTGCTACAAACACAAATTAAACCAACTAACATTTAAAGCACTGATAACTGATAATTGTTGCATGTTATCAACCTATGATAAAAGCATTTTCCATGTTGACGGTGAAGAAGAATTTTCTTCTCCATTGTCAACATGAAAAAAGCTTTTGGAAATATGACAAACTTATTTGTTGTCAAAAAGTTGCATCTGCAAATCATAAGCAGGAAATTATTTTTTTTATGAACTTTAATTTTAGAAAAAAAATCATTGGTTTTCATCCATTGGCATCAGATAAATTAACTGATACGTAGATCCATTCCTATCTTCAGATGTGTATTAAAAGAATACATTTGGTTTTTTTAAAACAATTTCTTAAATTAAAACATTTTAATATATTAAAGATAAATATTATGATTACATCAAAATATATCTGAAAGGATACTGGTTTATATATAATCATGGAAGCGAGAAAGATCACTTTCTGTACGTAATTCCTCTTCAACCAGGGTAATTTTGCTATTTATAATTCAGCTGAAAACTTTCACATTTCATTTCATTTGTGAGCTAGTTTGCCAATTAGAATAGATATGTGAATGAAAAATGATCAGCAGTGCTTATATTTTTTCCATCCCTCGCACTGATATTAATATACAAACTTGCTAGATTATTAATTATGCTATAGGCTTACTGTGCTTATTACAAAGTTTTAACTTTTTCTTTACAAATTAAGACCTAACTAAATAATTTTTTATTAAAAAACGGACCATATCAGATGAAGCCATAAGAGCCTTTTTGACCAGGCTTCACATTTACAGGTTCTCAAAACATTTATTACAAAATATTTGCCAAATTTTATATTTGTTTAAAATAGACAAATGCTTTTTCAAGTCCCGAATGAATTAAAAAACAAAAAAATATTAAAATATTTAAGTGGCCTGGGTCTTGACTTCCAAGAGGTTACAATTATATCATCACAGATAGAAACTCAAAATTAAGAAAATTGTCAATTTATTAATTAAGAAAATTAACAGATAAATACACAGAAAAATAAATATTAATGTCTTCCATTAACTCTTAATTCTTTCATTCCATTTGGTTTAAGAAAACCAAAATGGAGCCTGCTCTTTCAAAACTGCATTCTCTCCCCCCAAAATGGAATTAGTTCCATGAGTAGTGCTTCCATTTAAACAGTTTTAAACGGCTGCTTCTCTCATTTGACAAAAGACCAGCCAACAAAAATGTGCTCGACAGCAACGTATCAAACTATAATTTGCACCCTTACTCTCTACTTTTATTATGGATTATCGTTTATCTAGATATCTGAATGTATACAGCTGTTTAAAAGCTTATTAAAGTTAAAATTTATAGAAATTCTACTTTTTGTAGGTTTTGAGTATAAATATTGTAAGTAATTATATTAAATTTCAAAAATTATTACAAATTTTCCAAATGACTAAACTTCGTAAGTTTAATGATTGAACAATGTAAACTCAGGAATATATTCCTTATTAAGGATGTTACTTCTTGTCAGGCCTGTGTACAGGAGTTTTTAGAAGGGTGATATTTAAAAAATAATTATTTTATCAATGTATCAATAGTTCATTAATCATAGATGAAACAAAGTCTGAATCATATTAACAATTAAATAATGGAGCCGGATTTATTATAGGCCCACATTCTGGCTGATTAAATATACAAATTCTATATAAATTGGTTTAAAGAGGCAAATGCTTGAGCTGCCACCTTGTATTAAATTTAATAATCAGACTTAAATTTGAATATTCTGGAAGAAAAGATTGATCCAGAGTGGGACTCAGACCTGCAACTCCTATTTACCATATGGTTACAATTCATGCCACCAGTTTCTGTTAACCATCATGTCACTGGAGTGCATCTGAGAAATGACAAAAAAAAAGTAAGTGCAGCAGCTGCTAATTCCTTATCACTTTATACTAGTTCTTCATTATATTTTTCATTGATTTTAAGTAATCATTGTGGATGGGTGATGAAGTAAGGAAGTTGAAAACAGATACATAACCATAATTAGCCACGTTAATTTTGAAATTATGCTCTCAGAGTGCACTGCTGATTTAAAATGCAGGAAGAAATAAGTGGTAATTTCATGTAAAATTTTCAATGTTTCTGTGAAGACTAGGAAAACAAACTTGAATATATGTTTGAACTTGTGTTTTACGACACTTGTTTTGTCAACAACATATGTTTACATTAAAAAATATATATGATGTGCACATTTTTAAAGTTGTATAAATAAATTTTTTAAAAACTTCCACTAACCATTTTCTCATAGATCTGTTATATTCCTAGTCCCAAACATTGTTGGTTTTGAAGTTTTACTGTTCTGCCTATAATATTTTACCCAAACACTATACAGTAGAACCCCTCTAATCCGTCACCTTTGGGACTGGGGGTATGGTCGGAACGCAAAAAAGGTCGGATTATCAGAAAAAAGTAAAATAAACAATCTTCCCCTTTGTCCAGTCTTTGTAGCACTGCTAATTTTTCATTTAATGAAAGAGTAACGTGTTTACGTTTCACTCCTGACATGTTGAAAACACACACAAAACTGTACATGTACACACAATGTAAAACATATACTGTAATGAACACAGAAAAATGCCACGGACGGTGAGTCATGAACGAGTTGGGACAAGTTTCTCGACTCCGACCACGATCGGATTAACTGGAGTGACGGACTAGAGGGGTTCTACTGTAGTTACCTATCATGTAATATGTAAAACCATTCCTTCAGCTGTATTATTTCTCTGACACGGAGTTGCTGATAACTGCTCCTTACACAGGACGGTTATTACAATCTGATTGGCTATGTTTTATGGCTGAATGTTCTTAATTCATCATCCATTCTCTTTATTTGATGTTTGACCAGTCGAGCATTGAGAATGAACTGGTAACTCATGCTGTCTGGCCTCATATTATTCAGTAAGAACCAACTATTATCTTGTAAACCATATAATTGGAATTATCTACACTGTTCAATCATCAAGCTGATTACTTTTAAGTAAAACTTTTCATTGAAAATAATAAAATTGAGAATTGCTTCTTAAAAAAACCTTCTGCAGACTATATTTGAGACTTATTTCAACAACAAAGTGATTTTAATCAATTTATTCACATTCAATTTGTAGTGCACGTCCTAGTAATGTAATATTTACATGTTTCTAATGAATATTTAACTTTGTATTCTACACTTTGGACATTACTAAAATAAAATGAACCTTAAAATTCAGTTTTGTTGTTTAATTTTAGAAATTAACTCTAATTTTATTACTTGAAAAGCTGATTTAACTGACTTATTTATTGATTAGTGTATGCAAGATATATAAAAAAATATTAGATACCAAATTAAAAGAAAATAACTTGCTCATTCTCACTAAGTATTGCAGGTGTTATTCCATAACAGTTAAGGGGATAAATACATTTGAAAATATTCATTTATATATCATAACAAGTATTATCATGCAAGAATAAGAGAAAGATAAGTATTCTCGCTTATAATATTTTTTTCATTTAGAAGTTTTTCTTGTTATTACCTTGGATTTGTTGTCAAAAAAGAGATATTGCTTGGAAGAGGTGTCCTCCCCACTATCTGAATTATCAGGGGAGGCAGAATGTTGTGTCTGGGCCTGTCAAAAAGACAGGAGAAATCTGAATTTCTATTATATTTTGCAATTTGTAATTAAATTAATTAATACCATCTTTAATGAATGTTCTGATCCTGCATTAGAGCTTCCATTTTTCTGCTCATACCCATTATTTTCTATTTAAATTTTTTCTAAAAATTATATTGCATGAATAATATGTACTAGAAAATTTGAACTTTAATTGCACTTTTATAAATTACTGTTTTTATATTAAAATGGAAACCCTAATTAATAAAATAATATCTGTTAGGCAATTATCTATAATAAAGATCAATAAATACATATATTCAATACTTGTTATCTTCAAAATATTGAAAATATGTTTATTTTCAAGAAATCATCTTTATTAATTAACATCTGAACTTTAAATTTTATTTATTTGCAAATACTTTGGATAACTCAAGCCAAAATTGCTTGCTGCACTGCCAGTTTACATCTTGAAATCTAACTTGCAGCATCACCAAACTTTTTGTGCTACTTTCAATTAACTTTGCACTTTTAACATAAAAGATGATGAAAAGATTATAATTTTTCTGTAAGTAATGTAAATATATAGCATGTCCATTAATTGATGTAAAAAGTAAGTGAAGTAAGTGTTTGTTTATTTAATAGGCAAACAATTCAGATAAATAAAATTTAATTTTTGCACAACAAAGTTAACTTCTAAACTTTCAACCTTATCATTTAATTGCATTTATAAAAAAGTTATGCAATAAACAAAGAATTTTTTAACATTCAAAAGAATGCAGCTCCATTTTCCATTGGGCTGAAATTTGAAAAAATTGTAGACCTATAAATTCCTACTGTTGTCTATCAGTCTGTTTTTCCTTACTCTCAAGAATGAAGTTAGATAGATGAAAGATGAGACCAGATATGAAAACCTTAGGGGCAGGAGGCTTTGATTATGTATGAACTTCTGATGCAAACTGGAAGTCACATTATTTCAATTCAAAAAGTTTCCTGAAAGGTGTTAGATAGATAACCAGCATGACCCTACTGCTAACAGAAAAGTATGATGTACAGGGGCAAACAGTTAATGATTTGAGGTGGAGAGCAAATATTTTAATTTTAAAAATTATGATTAAAAATTGCAGCGCGGCATTGTGATGATGTCACAAATAATTGCTCATCGAGTTTATTCAATTTCAAGAATGTTTACTTATGTTGTAAGCATCTTTTTCTTGCACTGTTTCAAGTTCATTAAACATACTCAGAAATATCAAGATGGCATTTCTACATCTATAAAATATTTATAGTTGTTATTTAAGATGATTTCTTGAAAACAATGCAATTTTAGATATAAATAAATTTATATATATAAAAGAAAGATTTAAACTATATTATTATTTATCCCATTTCCATGAGGATTCATCTTACATTTTACTGAATGTAATTATTAATTTATTAATAATATTGACTGAATATTTTGGCAGCTTACTACAATAATACAAGCACTGAAACATAATTATCTGTTAGAAATGATATCCACACCTTTATTCCAACTGTTAAACACAATGTTGCAAGACTTTCAAAGGGCTTTTAGAAGAAGTTTATTTAATTTAAAGCAAAAACAATTAGTATATTTTTAGAATTATAAATATATAATTGTTCATGTAAATTTATGCTGTGTGACACAAAGTTATAGAAATACTTTCATCACCTTTAATATTCTTGAGTAAATGGCATTTAATAATTTTTTTTTCAATTTATTTTACAAGGGTTGTAAAGAAAGTAGCGGCAATACACTGTCTCCTAGGTAAATATTAGATAGTGACATCATTGCTCATTCTAGAATGCATAATGGGAGGTTGTGTTTAGTGCATGAGAGGATTGGTTCATGTCAAAGACAAATGTGTGTAAAGCATTAAATTTATGGTGTTAAACCAGACTGCCCTATATAATGTTTTTAAAGGAGGAACAGCGTACATAGATAAAGATTGAGGTGGTAAGTGAAGGAAATGCCAAAGAATCTTACAAAGGATTGTGAGAAGCATGTAGCACTGATGGATTATTTTATCAAATGGTGGTATGATGTGAGAAAACATTTTGCCAAGTCTTTAATAGTGTGAATGATGTGGCAAGTTCTGGTCATCCTAGAATCAAATCTCATCACACTCAGTTAATTGAACTGCTGATACAGGTGAATTGACAATGGACAGTGAGACAGATAGCCATAGAGGCAGGAACAAGCCAAACAAAGGTGTTGCATGTGTTGAAAGAAGTGCTTGGGTACCACAAAATTGCAGCACAATGGATGCCTTGTCATCTCAATGTAGTGCAGAAATGTCACAACTATGTGCTTCTAAATGAACATTTGCAATGTTAGAGCCAAGAAGGTTGTGCATTCCTTGAGAGGATCATCGCGATTGATAAAACGTGGGAAAGGTTAGACAAACCCGAATTGAAATTACAATCCGCTTGAGATACCCAACTTCTCCTTGGCCAAAGAAGTTGCACCAAGAACCCAGATCCATGAAAGTGATGCTGACATATGATGACCAAGGCATGTTATTATACCATGCAGTTCCTCAAGACAAGACTTACTTACCACTGCATATTACCAATATTTCTTGGATCATCACTTTGATCTATCATGCAGCAGAAATTTTCAGAATATGTCCACTGATTACGTTGCACAACAATGCTTGATGTCACACTGCTGCTCCCGTGAGAAACATGCTAGCACAGCGGCAATCTCAAACATCTATCATACTCCTCAGACATAAGCCACTGTAACTTTGATCTCTTCAAACAACTAAAAGAACCACTTAGAGGAAAGCATTTTCACATCCAAGACAAAATTCATCCAAGCATCAGGGCACATTTGTATACATCAACAAACTGGTATCTAGCACCTTCCAGATATATCTGGCAGAAGGTCATCAATATGGAACTGACCAACTAAGAATCATGGAGACCTTAGAAATTTATAAAGCGGGATTAAACAATACATGTATTAACTCCAGAGACGCAGTCAACATCTCTAGTGCATGGAAGTTTTGCTACGAAGGAACACCCCACACATAATTAGGTGTAATGTGGTTTTATTGCAAGCGCAGGTTGCGCGTGCTTTGACGACATCGCTACAAGAGCGTGGTGTTCTATTTTTGATATTAACGTTGACGTTCGAAGATTTGAATCGCATTTATTTGGTTCCTGTTCGATTTNGGCATTTAGCTAACTACCATTTAAAAGTTATGCACCGACGTCGAAAGAATTTTTAACGACTTTTCTTTTTGTTCATTAATTACTAATTTAATATAATAAATTACATAGTCGTGTATAATTTTTAATTAAAATATAGAGCAAAACTTGTATCATAATGTCATAAGTACATTTGTTATGGGTGAAGTTTAGTTTACTACATAAATGTTGATGCACTGGTTTCCTGGAATGATTCTATAATAGAGCCTATCTAATGGAAGTTAATAATAGAGTATGTTAATATAAATTGTTGCATATAGTATACTTGATGGCAGAATAGTACATAATAATGTGATATTACATCGCAATTTCCTTGAGTGAGCTAATGCCAAGACTATGAATTATCCAACGCAACAGTAGTTGTAAATAACAAAACATTTTTCAGAATTTTTTATGGTTTAAACATTAGAAAAAATACTTACACAAGAAAGAATAGATTTAAAATTTAATTTATGAAAATTGTGAAATTATAGTAATTAAAGTTATTTTTATAAAAATTTGTAAACACGAAAATTTTAAATAAATTACAAGTAATGCGGTGATAACGCAAAAGAAAGCACGAACTTGTTAAATTATTCAACTTCACATACATCATGTCGTATTTATGATACTTATAAAAAAGAAGAAGAAAAGTAAAAGAAAAAAAAGAGTGAATTTTGTGTTGTTACACAAATTCATTAGAGTTAAAATAATGTAATCTCTTATGCATCATTTAACCAAAATAAAAAGCTTATTACTAGAATGTCTTCAGTAAAGTTTTTTTCTTAAAAACATATGAAAATCTTGTTTGTATCACAAAGAATGTCTTATTCAAATTATATGTTTACGCTCATATTTTCTACATGTAACAGTTGAAATTCTGCTTTCTCTTTTGGTTTAAAATGCATAGAATCGCATTCCTGCTTGTTTTACATTCTCGCTTATACAAAATCTCATACTAATGGCATTATATATATTTTTTAGTTTTAAACAGTTCTACTTGCAATTCAAATTTCAGTTACAACTCAGACTGTATTATAGTAATTAATCTGACAATGCATTATTAAATAGAACTTGTAAATACATGATGTAACAATTAAATTCAGGAATAAATCCATTACAAATACTGTATGTAAAACAATTCAATGTTTGACATGACCTGTCTGCGACAGGTTATCCCAGCACAAACTTATTCATACATCATTTATCATTGCAGTTCCATTAAAGGTTTCACATTGTGCAAATCATCATCATTGTTCAGAGTTGAGAAGGGCTAATATTAAATTTCGTTTCAAATTAATAACCAAAAGATGACAATAATGACCTCAGAGATGGTAAGTGATGATATTTTTAAACTATTTCTGCATTTCAAATGTTTGTAAATTGATTGTATTTGACCAATTCTCAAACAAAATAAAGAATGGATGATAAAATTTAATATTAAATTCAGTTTCAGAGAAAAGGGGAGATAATATCTACTGTATTACAATGCAAAATTTCATTTTTAAATAATAATTAGGAAATTTTTGGCAATACATGCAATTACAGAATTAAGTCATTCCTTTACTTTATATTTATGCTCCACAGATTATTTCTCGCTCATCAAAACTAAGTCAATGGTGAAAAGATGATAAACCGAGGAAGCAGGAAGCATTAAATTTAATGTGACAAAAGAATTACTGCAGAAAATTTAAATGAGCTAAAAGAAATAATCCATGTTTTTTATCTTAAAGTTATTTAAATATATCTACTTAACATTTTACCACTGAAAACTGATCTTTTTCTTGTCTGCAACAAGAACTTTCTTTCTAGCAGGAGTCATCATCCACAACCCCAACAGACATTAATACTATACATATACATGACCAAAATTGAAGTAACTTTTATTCCAATAAGTTAACTGAGAATGATGACAACAGGAATCAAGATAGCAATCAAACAGAATGAAATCTGATTAGGTAAAAATGTTGCCATTCTTTCAGTTGTTAACACTGGAAGGCAGCAAATGATGTGATATCACTTCACTAACCCGATTTAAGAAGTTAATTCCATTGAGATGGTGTTAAAATACTAATCAGGTTCAGCTAATTCGAGCTTCAAATGACAAAGTTTAATAGATTTAAAGGCTTGACTGGAGTTAACTTTTGTTGTGTAAACATAGTATAGCAAGTGTTCAACATACCAATTTGAAGGGATACTAACATGCAATCAATTATAACTGAAAGCTTCTTTCCTTATACCATGTAATCTTCTCTAAATTCGTAGTCCCAAAACTTAATTGCAAAGTCTTGAAATTTTAATAATTTGACAAAGTGGTCCAAAAGTATTTATTTTATTGTCAGAGCATACTATGTATTAAAATTTCCAGAATGAAGAGAATTTAAGAGTCAGTTTTTTTTTTTTAAATTCAAACTGCTTCTAAAATAAGAAAAATTGTAATGAAGTAATATTTATGAGTAAAATTTATTTACAATTTCTATAACAGTGCATTATTGAATTAATCACTAACAATAGTAATAAGATATTTAACAAATTTTTAAAATTTATATTAAATATTCACAAGACCTCCAATGTACGGATGGTATATGTTCTGTTGTATAAATTAATGATAGTTTTGATATTGTGTAACATTAAAAAAATCCTTATTTTATGCAGACAGCAATTAACAATATAAATATGCAACTATTACAACTAATATTAACAGAACAAAATTTTCCTACATTCATTAAACTATCAAATTATTTTTGTTTATATTGTCATACTAGAAAAACTTGTATCCAGTAAAATGTGCAAATTTTCTATTGAAAGTTATATAAATTTTGATTCAGTATAAAGTTTATAATAAAAATAACTGTATTTTGATTTATTACCTCTTTTTTTTGTACTTAGTATGTGGACATTTTCAACATGGAATGGGCATAAAGTTAGTGAGAATTTTCCACACTTATTTTCTTTAATTCTAATGTTTCTATATTACAAATGGCTTTCTGACTACTAAAATAAATATTCTAAATATTTTAGAAAATGTATGTTTAATTCTGTCAAATAACAAAACAATGTTTTTATTGGTAAATTTTAAAATATTTAATTATATAATTTCTTTTTAAAATCTTTGAATTCTATTAAGATTAAATTCAATACTCGTAGTCTAGTAAAAATACATTAGTTTTGAAGTAGGGTCTCTTACAATTATGTGAGGTTATGTGAATTTTTTTGTATCTAGTCCTTCATTTAAATATAGCAACTGTAATTGGTTAGTCAGATCTCTACGATCTAAAAAATTGATTCAGTTACATTTTACAATGCAACTGAATTGATTTATGCTTTTAATTATTATTATAATAAAAGAGAAATACAGTATTGACCATCACCAGAGCATGCAAGAATATATTCATGCAAATGAATAAGTAGATCTCAAGTCTGTTAGATTTTTTTCTTACCGTGTTTACTACATTTATATTTTATTATTTCTTACCATGCTTACTATATTTTTCTTTTCTTCTTCAATTAACTTTGAACTTTTTTCACTTATCTGTGTTTTCTCTATTGGACTTGACTCTTTACCTGTTATGTTTATCAAATCAAACTAGATCAATTGTAGTTACAAAAGAGAGATGTAAAGTAATTACAATATATTTTTTTTTTCAATACAACTTATTTTATTAATACTTTGAATTATGAATATATAAAACAAAATTTCATGAGAAAAAACTGATTTATTGTGATATTACAACAAATTTAAATTTTTATATATTAGTTAACAGTTCTTTAATACATAACAAAATCAAGAGAGTTCCATGTAATACTTAATATAAAACTCTGTAGACATGGTATAATACAAGTGATGGTGTCTAAATATATGATATATAAATTATATGGAAACAAGATATATTAAATGTAGTTTTAGTAAGTGGTAAAAAAAATATTGTTTTATTTAATTGATTTTATTCATATATCTTCATGATGTCCAGATAAGGATTGGGTTTGTTATCAAATCTGTACAACAAATCATCATTAAAGAACATAAGCTTATGTAAATTTATATTACCTAAGCTTATGTTCTCCTAAAATAAGATGACAAAATATTTTTCTATTAAATATGTATTAAAAATTGAATCATTGTAAAATCTTACATATAATTATTCTAATTTTATTTACAATAAGTCTCAATTTAATGAACTAATTAGAGGAATGTGCATCTGCTATTGACAAAAGTCTGTCCAGTGCATTANTTAAATAATGAAATTCTTATAATATACAAGATGTATTAAAATGTTATAATGTACTGTGTGAGGAACAAACTTTTATTTTTTATATATTTTTAGGTTTATTTTGGAGATTTTATTTAGTTACACATTCTTGACCAGAAAAACAAGTAATCTTACCAACTTCAATAGGTCTCCCTGGAGGATGCCACAGAATGTGTGACCTCCAACTTCCAGAAAGAGGAAGTAACTTTGAAACAAATCAATTAGTATTATAAAACTAATTTAGTACATCAGTAAATTAATATTATAGAATTGTCAAAACTCAAGTTGCTGCAAACAGGGAATATGCAAAGTCTACAGTAGGTTCATGACACAGGCAGCAGCTGTAATATAAGAAAAAGGTATAAATTTTTGAGAGCTCACTGGAGTTGAGTAATAGTATCCTAGTGTTGTCAGATAATTGTTAAGTAATTGTAGGTGTTGGGTGAAGAAGTATTTTTAACTTGTTTTCAATTATTGAATTAAATCTGTTGTTTATTAATTGCTTGTTGTTCTACTTAATCATCATCATCAATAACCTGTTGAATTGTTATTAATATCTTTTTTTCTGGTCACAAACTGTTCATTATTTGTCATTAAACATTATTGCTGCTACTAGCATTATTAATGTTTTGACAGTTGTTGTTGTTATTAATTAATTAAATTAATAATGACAGTTTTTATTTTTTCTATGACTGGATTTTCTTTCATATTGCATATTTGCCTACAGTAAAGTCTAGTTAGAGATTTAGGGCAAGGATGGCAACCTGTGGCCCACATTAGTATTTTGTGCAGTTCGCATTGCACAAAATATTTAAATATATATATAAAATAAAAATTTTAAATACTGACATTGAGCAGTACTAAATACATTGACTCTTACTAAATATTAAAAGCTCACTTTGTATATGTCCAGTAGTTTAACCTGACTTCACGCGACACTTCATATAGAACAGTAAAGTATTAAAAATGTTTTCTGTCATTGCATTTAGTTTTTTGGTTTCTTTGCAAATTATATACCACTAATCTATATCTATTATACTATTCCTTAGCAAAAAAAATGAAATATAGATTTTTACAGCACCTTTCTCACTAAATGTAGAAACATATACCAGATGAACTCCAATTGAAGATAATAGACTTGCAAAGTAATTTTGATTTGAAAGATACTTTAAGGAAAAAAAAATCTATCAAGATTTTATAAACTTTTATCAAAGTGAATCAATTTCCTGACTTAATATTCGGCCAAATATTTTGGATATATTATATTTACATCAGTTCCAGAGATCATACGTATATCTATGTTAATTTATAATCATATATGAATAAATAATTGTGATTTACTTCCTTTTTTTTTCTTTTTTCTGATGTGTGGCCTGAGTTGGTTTGAAAGTTTTAAATGTTATAAAATTACACAGTAAAAATTTTAAAAGTTTTGATGTTCTATTATATGTTCAATATTTGTTTTTTAAATTTTCAATTACTGTATTTATAATTTATATTGACAAATATAAATTATACAAACTTTTAATAAGTGATTTATTATGGAATATAGTACTGTATAATAAAATTGCAACTGATATTTTGTCTTTAAATGTCATTGTTAAAGAAATAATAATGCTAAATGAGCATTTGTGGTATCGATGTTTATGTAAACATCATTTAACATGATATAACCACTAATAAAATTCAGTATTGAAAAACTAAGCTTATTTTATATCAGAAACACTTGCTGATGAAAGAATAGAGGATAGAGATTCCATAACATATATAATCTGTTTAGTATAAGCCCAGAAGTTTTAGTATTCAGTTATATTGCACTCCCCTCATTACATAACGAGGGGCTACTGTATTATAATGTAGATTTAGTGAATGTATAAATTACTTAAACAGCTATTAAACCATCAATTGCTTTTTTAAGCAATATTATAAATTAGAGAAAATAATCTATCACTTAGAATAATACTTTTAAAAATAGTTTTACAGTAAAAATTCTGGTAAAATGAAAAAAAATTGTTTTTGTTTATTTTATATTCAGATTTTAAGTTATTTATATTTTAAAAGCTATTAGGAATCCATTATTATTTATGTTAAAAGTATTTTGACTAATCACTGATAAGGCATTAGGAAAAAAGTCTTTCTTGTATAAAATTGAAAGTAATTTTAAAAATAATAAAACTTATAAACTATGAACACTGATTATCTGCTATAATAAATTTTTCTTAAATAAAAAACAAAATTAAAATTGAATAAATAGTGTAATTAAGAATTGATAATCAGGCTTCAGGTAAATTGTTAATAGCTCTCTTGATTCTGATATATACACATAGAAACTAATATTTAAGAATGAAGAATAACAATGTACAATATAATAAATTATTATTATATTTATATTATTGTAAAAACTACTCCATTGTTATTTAATCTCAAAAAGTTTCATTTGTTCTATTAACAATATTAACACATATATACATAATTTAAATATATGTTTAAAGATGGTCTATTAAATTCTGTTATTATTTACTTTTATTAACATGTTTTTATGAAACTACATAACAATATCAAAAGTATTTTAAATATGTGAATCCAAATACTGCCAATATAAACTAATTAACACAAATTAAAGCACTAAGATAAGTAATTTTTAATAAATAAATACATGTTCATGTGATATATATCATCCAAAAAGTTCTTTATTATTATAGTTATAAAAACGATTACATTTTTATAAATAAATTTTTATGTAACTTATTCTGTAGGTACTGTACCTATATTTGATATTCATGCAGCAAAATCACTCTTTCACTTGTGATTCATTATCTTTTGCAATGAAAATAATAGACATACTTTCAAAAAAATCAACTTTATTACTTCATTGAAACCATTTACTTGTCAACCTTTTCTCAATTTTAAGTCAGGCAAATTTACAAATATCTCATTATTAGCAAGAGAAGGCAGTTTCAAAAGGGAGATAATTATTGAAGTAAAACGATTTATCATTGCCGTTTTACTCATTTGGAAATGCTTTGATGATGATCTATAACGGAATTAAAACTAATATGACAAAACTAATGAATAATGAATTTTCGTAACCAAAATATTTTGTCATGTTATATTTATTAATAATTATATGAATCAGCAATATATAAAAAACACTTGAAATATTTTTCTGCTGATTTACGAAACAAATAGAAATTATTAGAACAAAGTTTTGAAGAGTGATTTTTCTTGAAGTGGTTTGTATTTGCAATATTATGAAGTTAATAACTACATAACTGATTTTGTTAATATAAGAAATCAATAGTTTCTATTTATAATGGCCTGAGGTATATAAAGAATAAAAATTATTTTATTCTTCCGTATAAATACTTATATATTTACCTGATTTGTCTTCTTCATTTTCAAACTGATCTGCTTTTACTGCCATTTCATTTTCTTTAAGTACATCATTAGAATTTACAACTTCAACTTCTGTTTTGTCCAATTTGGAGGAATCATCATTTTGATTTAAAGTTTCACTGACTGATTCTACATTACTACTATCAATTTTTGTTTGACTAGTGATGTTATCTTCTAATTTTGAATTGTCTTCAATAGGAACAGTTGAAACTGGAGTATCATTTTCAGTTTCCTTTGAAGCTTCAGTTTCAGATGATATCTGATTACCGTTATTTTCAGAATGACTAACTTCATTATCAGGCATTTGCTTCTGAACTGTCTCTTCATTACTTTTTATCTCTGATATAAATATAAAATTAATATATTGAACAATCATTTTAAATATTTTAATCTTTTATATATTAAATAATCAAACCTGTTTTATCTGGTTCATCTCTTGAAACAGGAACTGTTTGTTTAGCTTCTATTAATTCAAAGGTTACAGCCTTAAATTATATAAAGTTTTTTTTGAATTAACATAAAATAGTAATTATAAAATAACTTTCAGCTTTAAAAATCTGTTGCTAAATCATTGATTCTTTAAAATATATAAAAATACTTTATTTACCCGAATTGTATTTAAAGCTACTTGTCTAATTTGTGTTCCACTGTAAGAATTTTCTGGATGAAATTCAGTTTGGAGACAACGATATAACCTGTTCATTGCTGTTTTCAGCTTTAAAAAAAAAAATTATAACGTTTCTTATAAAAAACCATCTAAAATCTGTAAATAAAAATTATATTCATTTTGAAATTATTCTTTATTATAAAATGTTAATGTGATAATATTTTATATTACACATCTAAATTAAAGATGTACAACATGCTACTAAACATTTCAATGACATAGAAATACACGTGATCCTCAATATATGTGGTCTCAAATAGCATGGATTTTGTTTAATGTAGATCTATTCCGAGGACGTTTCAAGACTGCCACTTTGACACAGCTTGAATCTGACAATGTCAAACCAATTCTCCACTTTTGACTATTGTTAGTTAGGAAAATGGAAATTTAGGTTTTCTGTTGCAGAGCTCTTAATGTGAAAATAGAAATTAAACTGAATTAGTGAATTCCTGCAAACATTGTTGTTTTAATTCTTCAGCTTTTACAGATGACTATGAAGAAAAAAAAGACATCAATTGTATAGACAATTCCAGTAACCAACACCTTATTAGTTGCTGAAGGAGTTTATTAATCGTTTTGATCTACTCAACAGATCATCATCAGGTTAGAACATTCAAAAATGGAATACAACATAAAATGGAACATTACGTTCAAAATTCAAAAACCGTTATACATTAATACAATCCACCATAACCAAATAGAAGTTACTAAGTTTCCTTTAAAGCGATTAAGGATCGTATTTCGGTTCATGAACTACTTGTAAGCTTTTTAATGACAAACTTCCAAGCTAAGGGAAGTTCCAAGCAGGTTCCAAGAAAGATTGGGAGGAACATTATAACATTGTTTGGGACCAAATTGAAGTACTGAATAGGGTAAACCACTTCTGAACAATGGCCCGAACTTCGTCCCAGAAAATGCAGGGAATTGGGAAACCTCCATCCAGGAGATCGAAAGAGGAATTGTTGGATTAGATCTGATAGAGAAGGATTATGTACATTGTAAAAATGTTTTAAAAAATCAAGAAAAGTGGAAAAAAGGCAGAAGTAAAAACAATGACATCCTATACATTAAGCATTGGCTGAAAGCAAACAATTTAATTGCGGCAAGAGTGGATAAAAGTAAAAAAATGGTTATAATGAAAAAACAAACTTATGATAAAGCCTTAGAAGATTACATCAGAAAGACGGAATGTATTAAGACCAGCAATAAAATTGTTGAATCTATTGATAGAAGAGTCAAGAAACTGGAGGGAACCAAGTTTGTGAAGGTTTTAACTTTTATCAGAAATGCCATAACCCCAAGCTTGGGATCCCTAGACTATTTGCCTTCGCTAAAATGCATAAAGAGGGCAAGGAAATAAGGCCAATAGTGGAAAAACGTACAGCACCTACATTTTTCTTAGAAAAAAGGCTGCATGGATATATCTCCTCTCTACTGGAAAGTAGTATATTGGTTGCAAAGAATCCTGCAATGGCAATTAAAGAGCTGTAAGATATTACTTTGATGGATGAGGAAGTGGAAACAATATTAGATTACAAGAGCTTGTACCCCTCCATTAAAACTGAATCTTGTTTGGAAATACTACTGGAGTTCTTGTTTAGAGAAAACCCAACATTGGCGCATCACAGAAACAATGTTAAAGAGATGGTTACCTTGTATAATGTGAATCCTTTTTTGCTTTTGAAGGCCAAACTTATAAACAAAACAGGGGAGTTCCAAGTAACTACACTCCACTTTGTATTAATGTAAGCTTGTGGTTAGACTAAGTTGAAGAAAAAGTGGTGCGTAGCTTCAGAAATGACATTGTTAACTACAAGAGATATGTAGATGATATCTTTATAATATGGAGAAGCAATCAAGAAATTAGTAATTTCATAGAAAGAACCAACAAGAACAAAGATGGCCTCAACCTGAAGCTAGAGCAGAAAAGTTCCATAATGATACATTTCTTAGATATTAACATTGTCTTTAGGAAAGGGCATGTATCCACTAGTGTATTCACAAAACCAATGCAAAACCCACTCTACATCCTGGCAAGGTCCTATGACCCATACTGTTATAAACTAGCAGCCTTTTGTGCCTTGGTTAGAAGGGCATTTCTATGCTGCGATAACGTTATTGACCGAGTTAAAGAGATCAAAAGGATTATGCAGATAGCAGAAACCTTAGGCTATAAGAGAAGCATAATTGCTGGTATTGTTAGAAAATTTGAGTCACATGGTAAAAAAGTCTCCAGACAGAGCCCTACTAAGTACACAAAGTTTACATTCAGCAAATATTTAGGAGGTGTCATAAAGGATATTGCAGGCTTTAAAAATTCTACATTGGTATTGAAAAGAGCTCCAAATTTGTACAAGATTCTAAGAAATGATAAAGGGGATATTAAAAAAGATGATAAAGCAGGAGTTTATAAGATCCTCTACAAAAACCAATAGTTAGGGATAGAAAAGGATTACATAGGAATTACAACGAGAAATCTCACGATAATGATCAGAGAACATAAGTATGATGTTAGAAAAGGATCTAACACAACGATATTGGCCCAAATGGCTCAAGCCCAAGGATCTGTGGTTGGCTGGGAGGAAGCGGAAGTTGTCAGACAAGTACACTCTCCAAGTTTAGCAAAAACTGCTGAAAAATGGAAATATACAGGAGCAAACTTGGTGAAAGATGCATTAATGCCAGAGATGCAGAGGGTCTTCCCTTAGCTTGGAAGTTTGCCATTAAAAAGCTTACAAGTAGCGCGTGAACCGAAATACGATCATTAATCGCTTTAAAGGAAACTTAGTAACTTCTATTTGGTTATGGTGGATTGTATTAATGTTTAGCTATAGTAGTATATTATTTATTTTTACATTTATGTATCATGTATAGTTTTTATTCTTTTTAGTTGATATATTAACAGTTTTTGAATTTTGAATGTGATGTTCCATTTTCGAATGCTCTAACCCAGGGGTGTCCAACCCGCGGCCCGCATGCGGCCCAAGGCAAGTTCCAATGTGGCCCAATAAAGGTTTAAACAAAACCAACAAATGTTTTAATTTTATTATTATTTATTTATTTCAACGGCATAAACTCAGAAAAGACGTTTCACAAAGCCATAAACCTTTATTTATATTTCAGTTTTGAGTGTAAATGAAATATTTTCATGTACTTGAAGATGTGTGAATGAGAAAGGATTACTAAATAAAGCTGGAGTTGTGACTCAAAGGATTATAGACCCAAATTTGGTGAAAGGAGAGAAAGGACAAAAGATAAAAAGTTGTCAGAAAGGTTAAATAGTTCTTCTGTTAGGCAAATATTGAGTCTTAATTTTTCAACCTTTCTCACTTCTTTATTTTTTGTCCTTTCTCTTTTTTTTTTCCGAATTTGGCTCTATAATTCTTTGATTCACAACTCCAGCTTTATTTAGTATTCCTTCCAGCGTAGCAAGATTTGGCTACATTGAGCCAAATGTGGCTACTTTTTTAGTTTAACGTAAAAAAATATCATTTGGAGCTTTGGCTACTTTTGGGGCTACATATCATTTATAAATATGTTAGTTGAATAAAAATGCACTTTAAAATGGTGTTTCTTGGTTTTTTATTAATCAGAGACTCAAATAAACCAAATATTTGCGTTTTATCAAATAAATGAATTTATCTATTTGTAAGTAAAAATTGATAGTGTCTGTAAAAGTAATTTTTTTAAATATCCTGTTTCGTGATAAAGTTTTAATACTTATTATTATAATCTAGACATGTTAATCCTTAAATATACTTGTATATTCGGCCACAAGTATATATTATATATACTTGTGGCCGAATATTTAAGGAAATTACAAGTATGTATATATTATATATACTTGTGGCCCAAAACTCCTTGACTTCTTCCAATGCGGCCCAGAGAAACAAAAAGGTTGGACACCCCTGCTCTAACCTAATGATGATCTATTGAGTAGATTGAAAACGTTCATTTTTAATAAACTCCCTCAGCAACTAATAAGGTGTTGGTTACTGGATTTGTTTTTTTGCTGAGTATGCTTGTGTTCAATGTATAGACAATGCTTGATAAATATTTTGCTTGATTTTTAAAATTTTTTACTTCCTTTTTCTCTTTTTTTGGATACTTTAGTAGTTAATGAAGATCAATTATAGAGCATTTAGACTATTATTTTTTATGATTTGTTTTTATTTTTGTGTGTAACTACACTCCACTTTGTATAAATCTTCAATAATTCTACAATAATTTTTCTTTTTCAAATTTTATTTCATCATCCTCAATATTTTTACTTCAGCCAAGCAAATATAAATGTGAAACTTATGATTTCAGATGTATACTTAATGGCCTAACTTGTATATTAATTTATTTCCCATTGCAGAATGATTAAACCACATTTATAGAGGGTTACATCATATTTTGAATGCTAAGAAGACTAGTCAAATATTCACAAATTCATTAACATTGCTAAACTGAAATATACATTATATACAATGAAAACTGCTTATGCGACCACATGAATTCAACAGGTACCTGTCAAATGGGCAAAAATTTCTGGCACGAAATAGTTTATACACAGAGTCTTTGTATAAGTTACCCGTATTAAATGACCATCTGTGTAACGCGACCGCAGGCATCAATTTTTGGTCTGAAACAACATACAACAACAGTAATAAGTGACCACTTCTGCAAATATATCTGGTCTAAACTATTGTTCAAACCCATCAACGTTTCCCCCTCCTAATATAATGCATTAGTCTAAACTCTTGTTCGAACCCACCCTGGACACTTCTCCCACCCTTGAAATTAGGTGCAGGTGTTAATAAATTAGTCTAGCAACAAAGGAAATTCATTTCAGTTTGTTAGAAAATGTCCGAAAAATGAAAGAAATGCAAAGTGCTGTCATTAGAAGATTGTGTTAAAATTATCAGAGAAAGTGAAAATGGTTTATCATAACGGCAATTAGTGGCAAAGTTTAACTGTTAAAGTTAAACTGGAAAACGAAATTTATTTTACTGTAGACCTGCAGTATTTTCCTTAGGGGTATAAAATATTGTACATGATACAATTAATCGCTGATCTCATCGTTTGATAAAATTTATTTTATTTACTTATTTATTATTATTTTTTTTTTAAGCTTATATACAGTACATGTGCAATAAATAGTTTCTGTATCAACCTATCTTATTTCCATGATATTTTTAGAAAAATAATATTCAAGTAATTTTCACATGCAATATTCAAAAAAACGCATTAATGCAAAAATCAGTTTTACAGGCAACCTTCCTTTCTCGATTCCGTGATTGTCCAAAGACAATCGCGGAATGTAATGAAATCGTATTATGAGAAAAAATAATAAAATCGTTTTATTATTAATTAATAATTTTTCTTATTGTACTTAAGAAAATATTAAATACAGTAGTCTCGAAAACTCGGCCTAATGTGGACCGAAGAGTGGCCGAGTTTGTGAAAATGCCGGGTTATTGGGAATGGGGTTAAAAAAATAATTATGAGTGTTTCTTCAGAAAATACTGTACTGTACTTGTATGTATTGTTTATTTGAGAATATAACAGAGAATAAACTGCCCAAATACCCATAAACAAAGGAAAAGTACGTCCTTTATGAAGGCATAGAGCCTTTACTACATGAAAATGAAAATTAATGAATACACTGTGTACAGTAATTTACCTGATAAGACAGACCTCAGAAAAACACTTTATGAGGCATAAAGCTGTCAATAATGAAAATTAATTAACTAAGGATTTTTTTGTCCTGCCAGGGTGTGGCCGAGTTATCTGGACTGCCGGGTTATCGAGTGCCGAGTTTTCGAGACTACTGTATTAAAAAAATACAGTATTTTTAAAGTTAAAATAAGATTAAACTAACGAAAACCAAAACCAAAGCGATGGAGAGATAAGACGCACTTGTATGTCAATGACGTAATACACGTAACTGAGGAGCGAATGAAAACAACTGAGTCGAATTAATTAAGTCGGAAAAAAGAAAGTGTGCATTATAATCGAGAAAATGCAACTATTGTATTAATCTTTAAAATATTGGTATTAAATCTATCTTATAATATCACGACGACTCCTGTAAATTGAGTTATCTGATAAGAATAAAATACAATACCAATATAGTTCTATTGTTGAAAAAATTCGCTTATTTTTGATCACCTCAAGTTTTGCTTTTTAGTAGAAATGGCTAAAAAGTGCATTAAAATACATACGGAAATACGTTATTACAGGACCACCTGTATTGGATGACCACTTATCTAAAAGACCACTTTTTGAAGGAACCGTGGGTGGTCGCCATAGACAGGTTTTACTGTATTTATATTAAAAAATAGTTTTATATTGTTAAATTTGCTCACAAACATTTGCTTTATGTCTCATGAGTAAACCTTAGCTATAATAAGACTCACTGAAGTGCAGTTTAACGTAATGTGTTATGGCTATAGTCTGATGTAGCATTTGTGTTTTGAACCACTAATTTAAATTATGAAATTCAATTTGAATCAATTAATAGTAAATTTGTGAATAGTATAATTTACAACTACAAGAAAATATGAATTACCTCACTGGAAAACTTCACACTACTTTCTGCAAAACTACCTCCTTGATTTAATAGTCTTGTAAGTTCTTTTATTTGCTCTTCATACTGTTTCTTCATTGTTTCTGAACTATTACCCAGCAATTCATACTGAAAATAAATAAATTCTATTAAAATTTAAATATTTATTATACAAAATTTCAATTACTGTGATATATCATTGTGCCTTTAATCTAAATAATATACTTCTATGCATTTGAAGCTAGAATTACATAATATAAAAACATAACCCAATTATTTTTCCATTTATTATATAAGATTCCAAACCTTAAAAATATATATATATTTAATGTTGATGTTTCTTGCTTTAATAATTATCTGATTTTTAGTTTAATTTATTGAGAACTTCGGTATTCTAATGATTATTTAAATTGGTAATTTTGTTTATGCTGCCTTGACACTTTCGAATATAGTTATTACAATTTTACAGTATCTAGTATATAAATTAATACTATTTTAACAATATAACACTATATTTTATATTATTTTTACTATAAATTTTCCCTATAATCAACCAAGAACTTTAATAATGAATCTTAAATAAAAATGTTCATTTGGTAAGTATTAAATATAAAATACAGGAGAAAAATGTGTAAAATTTTTCATTGAAATTAAATGTGCAATATCTTTTGTGTTAAATTTAACATAATGAATATAACCTTAATATATTTTATAATCTTTCATTAAATATAAGCAAAGAAATAAGCATATCTAACTGAAATTTTATAAAAGATTGAAGCAAACCACATGTAGAAATTGAAATCATACCAATGATTTCAAAATACACGGTTTGATCCAGGACCCACTAGGGCCCTGGATCAAATCTGAGTGGATCAATAAAACCTCATAATTGTGGGGAGGTAGACTATCCAGATATACTGGTTAATTACCTCCTGATATACTGGGCCTCATCTCTCACCAACAAGCCTTGTGGGCCTAGTTTAATCCACAACTGGCTTGCCTCTTAGTCCATGCAGGACAAAGTGTTAAAAATAAAAATCATATTAAAGCAAAATATAATTAACACATTCCAAAGATGTGAAGAATTTAATGGCAAATAATTGCAAGGATATTTATAGAATATTTTTGTAACTTCTAGAGATTCCGGCAACAGTCTAATAATGATGAATGTTTATTTTCAGTGCACGCTAATTAGATTATATGAACGGATTGTTATACTTAAAAAATGTATTTTATTGTCTTCTGGTCTTTAAATTTAAAAATATAAATTTTCATTGTTGTTTCATTAGCATCCCTCAAGTAAATATGATACAACCATAAAAATAAACTTGAAACTACATTTACTAGATTTTAATACAATATCAAACAGACAAAAGCTCTGGAGTATTATGAATATATTTTTTGTTAAATAATATGTATACTTTATTATGAATAAATTGTAGACCTATAAATTCCCACCATTGTCTGTCCATCTGCTCCTTTTTAATTAATCTCGNAAGAAATAAGCATATCTAACTGAAATTTTATAAAAGATTGAAGCAAACCACATGTAGAAATTGAAATCATACCAATGATTTCAAAATACACGGTTTGATCCAGGACCCACTAGGGCCCTGGATCAAATCTGAGTGGATCAATAAAACCTCATAATTGTGGGGAGGTAGACTATCCAGATATACTGGTTAATTACCTCCTGATATACTGGGCCTCATCTCTCACCAACAAGCCTTGTGGGCCTAGTTTAATCCACAACTGGCTTGCCTCTTAGTCCATGCAGGACAAAGTGTTAAAAATAAAAATCATATTAAAGCAAAATATAATTAACACATTCCAAAGATGTGAAGAATTTAATGGCAAATAATTGCAAGGATATTTATAGAATATTTTTGTAACTTCTAGAGATTCCGGCAACAGTCTAATAATGATGAATGTTTATTTTCAGTGCACGCTAATTAGATTATATGAACGGATTGTTATACTTAAAAAATGTATTTTATTGTCTTCTGGTCTTTAAATTTAAAAATATAAATTTTCATTGTTGTTTCATTAGCATCCCTCAAGTAAATATGATACAACCATAAAAATAAACTTGAAACTACATTTACTAGATTTTAATACAATATCAAACAGACAAAAGCTCTGGAGTATTATGAATATATTTTTTGTTAAATAATATGTATACTTTATTATGAATAAATTGTAGACCTATAAATTCCCACCATTGTCTGTCCATCTGCTCCTTTTTAATTAATCTCGAGAACATTTTAGATAGATGAAAGTCAAGATCAGGTATGGAAAGCTTAGGGACAGGAGGCTTTGATTAACTATATACAAACTTCCAGTCTAGACCAAAGTCACGTGAATTGAAAAATTACCCCCTGAATAGAGTTACATGAATAACTGCAGCATGACACTGCTGCTGACACTGATTAAACTAGGCCCACAAGGCTTGTTGGTGAGAGATAAGGCCCAGTATATCAGGAGGTAATTAACCATGGATAACTGCAGCATGACACTGCTGCAGATAGATAATGGCACGACATGGCCATTAACAGGAAAAGTATGACATACAGGGGCAAGACACTACAAATTTCAGATGGAGAACATATATTTTAAATAAAAAGATAAGAATATGATCAAAAATTTGTAGCCCAGCATTGTGACGATGCCACAATAAATAATTGCTTGTTAAAATTAAAATTGAAGACAGTCGCTTTTATATTCACTTTCACGGAATACATCTTTTTGGTGACTTGACCTTTCCTGAAGGTCAGGCCAAGTAACTGTTTCAACAGACAATCTTCATTTTTGACAAGACTATGTCTTGTTTATAAAATTGTACTGCCCAACTGACCAATGTTCTTACCAGCATAGAGGTATGAAGGAGTACATGTTGAGAGTTGATATTTAGCACAGAGTATTAGGTGCCCAAATCATTTGTGCATAAAAAAATCAAGACTCATAGATAGTCAGGGGACCGAGAATCAAGTCAAAATAAAATCCAAAATGACGACCCTCTTCTACAAACAGGCAAGACAGCTACCTCACCCCACCGAAGTCAGGTAGGGGAGAGTACCACCCACAGTCATTCTAAGAAGTGAACTCTGACCTTAGGACTGAACACACAGTTTCTTCTATGTTAAATAAAATTTGTAATTAATTTAGTAAATTTGGGCTTCAAATATCACGTTAAAACGGTTTTATGTCGTTACAAGTGGTTTTTTTTTTAACATTATCTAGTATAGTAAAATCGTAGGACTGATAAAAATTTGACATTATATTAGGGTTGTCATTACACTCGATGACATTATAATCGGGTTAAACTGTATATTGTTTGTGCAAAATAAAAAATAATTCCAGACGATACAATAGCCATGATTATTTTTTTCAAAAACGGAAACTTTTCATTACGCATTGACAAAAATTCAACCCAAGCCGACATGCAATGGCGAGAAATTTTGAAATTAGATAGGTTAATTTCATCGAAGATGCATCATGGACAATCTCATGGTCATGGCTGGCGAAGTTTGAACGATCGTGCCCAAAAGCAGCAATATCAAAGAAGATAGGAGAATGAGAATGAGACCTGCCTTGAGCATCAAAGTGATTCTGTCTCCGAGACATAGTCTTGTCCCAAATACGGTTTTGCTGTTTTACTTGTTAATTTTTATTAATAAAAATAGCCAACTTGTGAATTTTATAATTTTCAGTTAGTCAACTTTTTTAAATGGCTGAATAACAACTGGTTTGATCATATCAAGTAACTGTATATTGTATCAACAATTTAATGTATATATCAAGATATTTTAATTAACATGTACATAACACACACAAACAGTAAAATCTTTCTATATTATAAATTTAGATTCTTGTGCTTTCAATACTCTCTTATTTAAGCGTGTGAAAGTTTCTTTAAGTGAACATGTATTTTGTTTCAAATTTTATGTACTATATATATATCAGATAAATAAATATATATTAATTATATATTTATTTAATCATGATCTTCTTAAAATCAAGAATATCATGATCTTTAATCATGCTATTCTTAAAATAAAAAGAATATACTTGTAGAAAAATAAACAGATATGTCCATCAAGTATTTAACTTGAAGTAAAAAAATTCAAAGTTTAAATTAAAAATATTAAAAAATGCATTAAAACCAGTAAAAGAAAAGAGGAGAAAAAAGATAAAAGAATAATAAGTATTTTTATCAATTATCTTTTTATAAGTAAGTTAATGTTTGCAATCAAATTTCTTGTATTAAATTACAAAACTGTGACAACTTACTTTAAGTTTCCATTCTTTCAAATTTTCTATTTCTTCTTCTAGTTGAAATATCCGATCTCTTTCTGAAGATTGATTCGTTCTAGATTTTTCTAACTAAAATAAATTTTAAAATATGCATTTTTAATTTATTACATTAAATTCCTTTATTCAAATGACTGTTTTCATATTCATTTACAAACATACTCAAATAACATTATATTATGCTTATAAAAGGATTAGGTTAAGTTAACTTAGTTGAATTTTATTGGCACAAGAGCCACTTTTGCCATGCTGCACCATGCACCACAATCAAATTATAGGAGGGTTGACAATAAGCAACAGTGAAGTTATTTTCAATGTTTTATCTGTGTATATTATTCTTAATATATATGTAATACACTTAACAGATTATAAATTAACATGTGATTAATAATTATCAAATGTAAAATGAAGAATTTAGATGTATTTAATATAAAATTCAAGTAAAATTCATTATAGAACAATTAAAATTAAGTAAATATAGTTTTTCTAATTCCTTACAAATAAAGAAATAAATAGAGTAGAATGTCATTTATCTGAAAATAAATTATCCAAAAAAATATTCTGTAATTACACAAATAGAAAAGCATGATTGTAAAGTCACAGGCTCCTAATGCTTTGCTGTGTCTATTCAGCAAAGCATTCAATGCATTAGAACAGTGGTCATCAACTAGCGGTCCATGGACCACTGATGATGAGCTGCAAGAAAATTTTGGTAGTCTGCGGAGAAATGTGGACATTGAGTAACTCAAGGTTATGCAAAGTATTACTAAAGAAATGCAAAATAAATAATGTGAGTGCAAACTTCCTGAAAATGAGCCAAGAATTCATAAACTTATTTCAAACAAACTGCAACAAACTTTACACGAATTAAATTGTTCATTGCTTTCTGCCCTTAGTTACATTAGATTTTTTGTTATAATCAAACCAGCTATTTAAATTTTAGGGCTTATCACAACAGTAAATATTACCAAAAACTTTCTAATACACCCATCTCCAGAAACATTAATGAGTTTAACTCATTAATGTTTCTGGAGATGGGTGTATTGTAAATGCTTTAAATTCAATCATTGTAAAATTTCTTTGTTCTTTTGTAAAATAAACTAAGAAAATTTGTTGGTAACATTATGTTCACTGGTATGATAAGCCCTAAAATTTAAACAACAGGTTTGGTTATTACAAAAATTCACACTAATTTGTTATAATTAGAGAAGTGAATTTCATATTAATAAAGTAAAATGGAACTTTATAATCCTTATTCTATAGATGTTTGTATCGTTTGAAAAAATTTATGATAGTGGTCTGCGAAATTCAAAGTTGTGAGTTTAGTGGTCTGTGAGATTAAAGTTTAGTGACTGCTACTTTAGAAACAGCATTGACACAGTAAGAAATGCAACTCAGAACAGATTTTTCAGCTCTGATGATGATCAAGCAAGTCGAAGATTTTTCAGCTTTAAAAAGAAAAAATCTTATATAAAACAGAGAGAAATAAGAGATTTATTTCAGGATTTTTATGCAAATGCCATAAAAAACACCATCCTTTTTTAATCAGTTATCTCAAATTTGGATAATCAACACACTACTGCACTAACATTAATATAGTAGTGTTTATATTTTTGTCATTTAAAAAAATGACACGACTTACATGTAGATTATTATTTATTTTTTTAAAAGTATCATACAGTTATAAAATATTGTTTTTGAATCAATCAGACAAGTTTTAAAGTAAGTACAGTAATTAAAGTAATACAGTAAGTTTTAAAGTAAGTACAAGTTTTAAAGTAAGTACGATTATCCGACCTCCAATTAACCTTCACATCGGTTAACCTACCGTTCTAGTCGGCAAATTTCAAATGTACGCTAGTGATGCGGCACTACAATATTTGGCTATGTCTTGGCTACTTTAATATTATTTTTGTTAAATTTTTGCGTGTTTTAGCTGGCATGAAAGGGAGGCCAGTATTTAAATAAGACTTAATTTTCTAATTATGAGTGGTTGTTTGTTTTGTGAGCAATAAAATAATTTTAAAATAATTTTTAACGATACAATAGTGACGATTATTATTTAAAAAAAATTTTGTCAGGCTTAACATTGATGAAAATTTAACGCAAAGTAGGTTAACGATATACTAATATACTATACTAATAATGTATTTTTTTTCATTCTTTTCGGTTATCCGATTTTTTCAGTTNTTAACGACACAACAGCGACGATTAATATTAAAAAAAAAATTTGTTAGGCTTAACATCGATGAAAATTCAACGCAAAGTAGGTTAACAATATACTAATATACTAATTACATGGGATATACTAATATACTATACTAATAATGTATTTTTTTTCATTCTTTTCGGTTATCCGATTTTTTCAGTTATCCAACCAACCTGAGTCCCCAATTGAGTTGGATAATCGATGCTCTACTGTATATTGAAATTCTTTACAACTTCCTAAAAGAATTCTTCTTAAAGATGGATTATAGAGCCCAGAAGAATTATAAAAACAAGTTTTCATCTTAGTTTGTGGTTATTTGTGTGTATATGTTGCCTTCAATTTGAGGTTATAAACCTTTCCCCTTTTTGTAGTATGATTTATATTAATCAATCATAAGATCACATATCTATATTATAACAAACAAAAATTATAAAAATATAAGCAAATATATCATTCAACTAACTTTACTTTCTATCTCCTTCAATTTGCATTCTAACATGATTTTTTCTTTATTGAGAACTTCTATTTCTTCTTTGTATTTTTCTGCAGTTTCCAAAATCATTTGTTCACTTCTTTTTTTCCACTTTGATTCTATATCTTCAATTTCTGTTACCTAAAAAATTATTTGAAGTCTAGAATTATTTTAACAGCAACAATACTTCGTAATACCAATTGATAAATCCAACAAGTTTAATCTTAAAAAAAATAATCATTTTTTAAATTTTTAGTTTTAAATTATTAAAAAAAAACTTAAATGAGAAAAATATTTATCAGAAAAATACAGTTAAAATAACATCTTTGAGCTATTTTTTATATGCTAATTTACTTGTGAAGTAAATAATTTGGAACTAAGTTATTAATTTAATTTGAGTTATTAATATTCAAAGATGACTACATCATCTATCTTTAATGCCAAATTATTTAAGCCAATATATTCCAGCTTATCTGCAAATGTGTACAAAGTTATGATGTTGCTATACACAATATCTTTGCATAAACATTTTATTATTTGTTCATGTAAAAGACCTTGACTAAAATTCAATATTCATCGTTACTAGTATCAGTATCCACCATTGGTTAACAAGTAAAATTATTGTGCTACTACACATAAGTGTATTATCTTTTCTTTGTTTAGCATTAAATACATAGTAACTTTTCAGACATACTATGTCTGAAAAGTTACTATGCAGTGGAAAAGGTTTAAGTAAAGTTTTACATATGATATTGCAGTTTCTCCTACAGCAAATACTGGAAATCTGCTTCAGAGGCCCCAAATCTGGGAAAGTGAGGTCCAGAAACCTAGCAGGCCTGATTCCAAGAGAGATTATTCAATTGACAAAGAAATTTCTGACAACTGAAGTCCAAAAACCAGAATGATTGTGAGCAAGCAGTCATCTACCACAAAGTGGAAATGTGAGACGCACCACTTACAGGTATCATATGCAATGCCATACTTATAAATTTAACATTGTTACAAATTTCTCACTGCATGGTAACTTTTTGGACACACTGTATATCTACGATTAAATTAATTTAATCCATTAAATTAGCTTGTTGCTTAATTTAAAAAACTTTGTAATTTGATCTCAAACTGAAGACTAGCCAAATTATTTAAACTTTACAACAAGGCTACTACTTATTACCTGCTCAGAAGAAGGCACCGGTCTTTTATTGAGATATTTATTCCGAATCATTTCAATTTCTTTCTGCGAAAAGAAATATCGTAATTAATACACTTAGTTAAATTTATTAAAGAAGAATGAAAAAATAAATACTCACACACTCAAATGAAAGAAGCATTAAAATACATTATATTAATGACATTATATTAAAGTAAATAAGATTTGAAATAATATTTGCACATAATATGAACAAATATAACAATACAGACATAATTAATTATAATTAGAAATTAAATTACGATTTAAATATTGAATTTATTTTAAATTATATCAGATAACAACAATAGTGTGTAAAGAGGACTAAAGAAATGTTTGATAATATAGAAACTGTACATATAAATTTATTTTGCTGAAGGAAAATAGAACAGTAAAAGAATTGGAGTTTTAGAACTTTTAGTGGAACAAATTTAATTAAGAACTAGACATTCTAAAATTATTTTTTCAGACAAAAGATTGCATTTCCCTAAAAAAAAAGTAGCCCAAAAGTACTTGAGGGGGTCATTAGTTTTTTGATATCAAGAAGCACTCAAAGCAGTTAAAAAGTAAATATAGTGAAACATCAAAACTCTAGATTCAGCTGTGGAAAAATGAATATTAATCTTAGTTGTCTGAAATTAAAAGTTGGCCAACAGTATTTACATTAAAATACAAAAGATGTGTGTATTGAAGATACAGATATGATAATGATGAAATTGTTTTCTGTTGTTTATGATCACCAGCAACAATCAGAACAGATTTGATGATGATGAAATTGTTTTCTATTGTTTATGATCACCAGCAACAATCAGAACAGAACGATGAAGACAATTCTCTATCTTCAATATACATATTTTTTGCATTTTAATAGATATTAACCCTTTTCAATAGTAATATGGTTGTTGATATTCTACCATTCAGAATTATTTTAATTTTGAAATTACAATTGAGCGTATTTTTTGTTTCAAACTAGTGATTCTATAAATTATATTTTGAAAGTATTCCTACATTCCTTGTGAAATACTAGTTTGAACTTAGAATACCTAAACTTAAACCATGATGTATTTGGAGTTCACCTAAAGATATGCCAAGATTTGACAAAAAGGTAGTTATCAAATAATGACACAATCTCATTAATTTTGAATCATATTTTTAATTATGAAAAGATCATAAATTCACTGAAGTACAATGAAAAATAAGATTTAATTTTGATAAATTCTATAAGTTAAACAAAACAAACCTCATAAGATGTCCGAGTTTCCTCTATTGCATTTTCAGCTTTTATTCGTTCATCTTGAATCTGTTTCTTTTTATCAGTCAAACTCTAAATAGTATGAATTATTTATAAAATTATAAATTTAATCTAGTTAGTTTATTAGTTTAAAGTATTTATAGCTAATTTTTATAGTGAATACGTTCAATAACCAGTATTTCACACATAACTATCCAATATCAGTATTAATCTATATTATTAAATAATCAAGACTGAAGTATCAAAAATTTCATAACTTATACTTTACACAGAATGAGATATATTCATCATTTCTTTATTAACACTTTATTAAAATAATAGTGTATATATATATTTTTAAAATACAGTAGAGTTTAAAATGAGTTTTTCATATTATACAAATTGAATTGTGAAAGAGCATAAGAAACTGCTGTAAAACACAGTTTCAATCTAACACAAAATTATGGCCAAATTTGCAACCAAGGATCAAGAGTTAGAGTTAGAAGTTACTTAATTACCATTCACTTTACTTTTAGTAAGTAAACTCTTATTGGTTGACTTTTAACTCTTGATCTTTGATAACTCTTGACAAACATTAGAAAATTGCAAAAATCCTTGCAGAATAAAATATTTTTGATATTTAGTGAAGGAAAAATAATTCTATCATGCTAAATGAAATTTTTAACATTTCTGTTCTGTTTTATGAAGAATCTCTCTTATTGTTTTATAGCATAATTTAAAAGTCATTATGTTTGTTCAATAAATAGATCTAACCCAAGGTCAGAATGTGTTACACATACATTTAATAAACTGGATTTGAGTATATTAATGTACCAAACATTCCACGTTAGCAGAGTATTTAATTATCTAAGACCATCAAACAATCCATCCATTTTGGATAATCAAAATTCTTTTGTAATTTGGTATTCAAAATATGTTTTTTGACTAAAACATAAGCAAGTTTCTTAAGTTAGCCAAAAATGTTTGTAATTCTCATTAAATTCTTTGCTGGAGAAGTGTTTATGGTGTTTCTGTTTGCAATTTACTTTTTGGCAATGGATTTATGACACTAACATAAAACTGTTATAAAGAAAGAGCAAATTGTAATTCTAAATTTTCTGATGGTAATTCCTAAAGTATAAATAAATATCCTTCTTATCAAATTAAGATCCCAATTATGAAATTATTTCAAAATCAATTTTTGTAGAATAAAAGTGATCTTAGGTGTTTTTTTAATACTAATTAAATTTGAACTTTAATATATTTCTATTAAAAGAATTATTTAAATATAGTAGTATATTTTAAAACAAAAATTGCACAAGATGAATCAAGCAAAGAATTTACAGAAAAATTTTGTAAAATTCTATAATTAACATATTTCATTATTAAGATTTCACAAATAAAATACCTTTTCAAGCATTTCTTTTGTACTTTTAAAATCTTCAATAGTTTCTTCCAAGTTTTCTAACTTTTTCTCCAAATCTCTTTTTTCTTGTCTAATTTCTTTTAAATTTTGCTGCAATGTAGTAATTAAAACTTCTTGTTCTGTTAAAGAAAGTAAAATTTTATAATTGATTGAGAAATAATTTAAGAAAACTCAAAATTAATAAAAAGTATTCTTAAATATCCTTAACTAGTAGGATGAAATACTAATTTGTAAGTACTTAATTGTATAGATGTATGATAATCATGTAATATGTAACCTTCACAAAGTTTTAACTTTAATCAATAATTGATGTTCTTATCGCAAAATTTATACTGATCAAAAATTCAGAAATCTAAATATTTGTCTATCTACAGCAGATCAAGTTACAAACTGCATGATTCTAAAATATTGATAAATGTTTCTAAACAAATAACTCTATGAAAACTTGATACATTATAATAATAAAGCCAACCACTGGCATATTGATGATGGCAGTGGTTGGCTTTATTATGATAAATGTTTCTTTAACCAAGATTAAATTGATGTTAAAATTTCAATTTAAAGTACATTTTCTATTAATTTTCTCTTACGAATTTACAATTTATACATTATGTACGAAATATATCTAGTTATCATACCTTGTATTTTGAGCTTAAAAGATTCTGTTTCATCCTTTTGTTTCTGACTGTTGTATGTTGCAGTTTGAAGTTTGTTCTTTAAATCTATTTCCTGTTGCTGTCGAGCAGAGAGTTCCAACTGCAATTCGCTCACTTTAGATATTGTTTCGGCGAGCTCAGACGAAAGTTTTATCTGTAAAAGGGTAAATTTCTTTTTAAAAATATTGCATCTTTTGACTATGTTTATATTATAGTTTTTATTTTATATCTTCTTATTTTCCAAATTTTAAAAATGCTATATGGTAAAGAAAAACTAAATAAATACTGTATTTACTCGCATATAGAACAAGGTGTGACTAAAGGTGTGACAAAATAAAGAAAATCAGATTTATTAATACAATTCTAATTTTATATCAAATGCATTTGATATAAAATTTTGTAAAAGTCTATAATTAAACATATTTCATTATTAAGATTGAATTTTATATCAAATGCATTTACATGCATTTGACATAAAATTAATATAAAACACATTGTCCCACAAAAATTACTGGCATTTTAAACTTTAAGGAAAAATCTTATAAAATTGACAACATAATTTGTTCATGTAAAGCTAAACAATCCAGAAACTTTTTTGTCTATTCTTAACAGTCGAATCCACTCTCCGTTGATTACACTTAAAGAGTTTCTCTGAATTCTGATTTCCAAATAATCATGTTTTCAGCTGGCAATAAATTTAAACTTATATCGGGCTCCCGTATAATTTTGGAATTTAATTCAAAAGCTCTGCTTTTCCTATTGCTATTCATCTTTACTCCTGACAATATACAAGAACGATTCATATGACCCAGATAAAATACTTTTGTTTTTAAGCACCATAGGGTGAGCATTGTGTAAAAAATGTGAGTATACTGTTCACAAAAATTATTTGCAAAATCACAAAGAATCTTTTGCTCGCATGTATAGGACAACCTAGGTTTTTGAAGCAGTGTAAAATGAATAAAAATCTGGTCTTATATGCAAGTAAATATGGTAAATCACATGGACATATAATGCACACACTAAATTGATGATAATTCAGTATATTCATTTAAAATCTTTAAGAATCTTTTAATTTATTCAGTGTTAATTCTTTATTATTAATCTATTATTAGATTTTGTCTTAAATGATTTTTTTTATATCTTTCTTTCATTTAAAACAACAGTGCTCCAATTAAATTACTTAGTTATATTGTTAATTTATAATATAACTTTATATGTTTGTGCATTTATATATACAGGTGACGACAAAGTTCTGGGAAACTTTTTACTCTAATTTTTCTTCATAAGCATAGCTTTTTAAATTTAAATAGTTCTGTATTTTGGAACATTCTTTAGAATACTAAATTTCAAACATAAATTGTTCTCTAACACATTTGATGTCACTTAGTAAATCCACCATCAATGATCGTTAAATTACTTCTTGTTCCACATGCACCCATTTACAGGGCCATAACTTGGGACAAGGAGACAGGTATACTCAAGGACTATACTAGAACTACATAGAAGACAGACTGTCAACATGCATATCCGGGCTATGCTGAAAGGCGAGGCCATCACAACTGTCAACTGTCAGCATGCATAGAATGCACAAGATCATCAGAAATCGCCAAACAAACTAACAGTAAAGATTAAAAAAAAAATAGCCATCTACAAGCCTGGCCTTTGACCATACAAGCTGCAAAGAGCTCAATTTCTTACTAAAAAGACCAAGGCCATGAAGCCCAAAAGATGTCGTGCCTTGAAGGAGAGACTCACAGGATGACAGGATGACAAAAACTTCACAATTAAACATTTGTCCAATCATCAAAATGACAGAATTTGAAGTAAAACTCCTCCAGATGCTTTAAAAGTGGTCATATGCTCACAACACCCTCGAAAGGTCATGCTGTGGGGTAGAAACCATGAAAATGGCAAAACTCTGCTCATTTTCATCAATGGTGGTGTGAAAATCAATTCATGAAATTTACACTCGAGATGATCTTGAAGCTACTCTTCTTCTTTGGTCCAAATTCCACTTCAGCAACCAGAAATGGATCTTCCAGCACTGGCCCATAAGAGGATAGAAGTCTAGGTCTGGTTGGTAATCATGGAATTGACTTTATCCCATGGACAGGATGGCCATCATATGCCTGGACCTCGACCTCCCCCACATACTACAGCATACAGGTTAATATTGGAGAGCAGAGGCCGTGCTACCTCAGGCCAAAACTCAGATTTAATGTAGGCTGCCCTGATCCACAAATGGAACAAAATACCTGCAGAAGAGATGTGACATCTGTAATAGCTTTATGTAGCATCTAAGTCTTTATATCAAGGAACATGGAAGTTATTTTGAGCAACAATTGCTAACATTTCCTTTCTGTAATTAATATAATCCAAATATATTCTATTCTTTCTTATATTTCCACAACAAAGTTGTAAAATAATAAATATTTTTATGAAATTATAGTAGATAAATGTATTTTTGTAGTTTTCTATATATTCTTAAATGGTAGAAATTTACTCTTACCAACAAATTAATTAAAGAAAAAAAAACCAATTTAATCTTATAAATACAATCTTAAAAAAAGCAAAAAAGTTGTTTACAAAATTTTGAATATTTAATGTAAATTACAACATACTCTCTCTTGTTCAAGAGTTAAAAGTCTAGCATGAGACTGAGAGGCCGTGGAATGTAAGGAATCGCTTCTTTGTTCAAGCATACTGTTGCTTTCTTCAATAAACCTTTTCAAGATAAAAAAAATTACAAATTATTTCTCAACAAATTCAAAAAAGTTTTTACTTATTAAAATTACAGCAATTATGTTAATTATTTAAGAAACATGCAATGTACACCAATCAATAGAGTAACTGTCTGAGTTTCATCTCCCATCAGCATTCAAATGTCTACAAGACATTTGATTGCAATAGAGAAGGCATTTCGTGTCTTGCAGTTTGCAAAGTCTGAATTGCTCATCACCATGTGACATAAGTAACCTGCAGGAGCTGTAGAAGAAGCAAAAACAGACATACTGTAGTGAGTGTAGGAAGAATCTAAGTATTGGTTGGATGTTTGCCATGTGATACAAGGTGAACACAGAGAAACTGTAATGGGCAAATTCTAAACTTGGACACTTTTCCAATGTTATAATGTACATTAGAATGTTATTGGATAATAATTAACACAATTACAATATTTATATACATTTCATTACTTTAAATTATTCTATACATGATTTTATTACATTTAATTTGTTACTTCATAATTGTGACTATGCCTCACACAATGAAAAAATCTAAAATTATTTTAATTTTTAAACTGATAACTTCTCAGTTTGACTTGTAAATTCATTTTAAATGAATGAAATTACAAGTGAATGTGGAATGTAAAATAGTATATAATTAAAATATTACAAAATTTAAAATATACTAGCAGGTAAGTCCAGTATAAATTACTGTAAAGGTATTTTAAAGAATGCAAAGTTGACCAAGCACTCCTCTAGTTACATCATTGTTAATTCCATCTCTTAGTTGTATATACGAATCATATCTTAATTCTTTCTGATAAGTTCTAATATAACAATCTTTCTGGAAAATGGAATACGATTACAGAAAACTTATTATTATGACAATCAAATATAATAAGCGATTATTCACATATTTTCTTTTATTACAAAACGGATAATTAGAGCTTAAGAAACGACTGAATCAAGTGATTTTACAACATTTGTTTACATTTTGTCTCCGATAATATATCAGTGATGTGTTGCAATATTGGTCACATCCTTTTTTGTATACATTTTTTTTAATTATCTATTTTTTAAACTTTTTGTCAATAGAAGACGCTATGTGTAAACCCAGTATACTGAATATAGACAGAAATTAATTGATATACAGAAATCCAATTGATATTTTGCAGTTGCATGTATGACATTATCTAAGTTAGAAATATGTTAACATTACGTAACTGCATTGGTCAAATGGCCTAGGAGTGTATAGCAAACAAACAAACATACATCTTCATTGAGGCAGAGCATTAGCAAAGCCTCTTCTATGTGGTTTACAGAATTGTGTTTGTTCTCAAAATCTGTTTAATAGATTTTGATTAAACTTTGCTATTTTCTGTTAATTATGATGAGGAATCCAAAGATATAATAAAAAAATGAGGGTCCATGACTTTGTTTGAGATATAAGGTTGTTTCATGAATGTGTGCAACAAAGCAAAGTCCTGAGGTTGCTACATATCTTCTATGTGGCTTATAGAATTGAGTTATTTCTCAAAATTTGATGGGCTAATTTTGATAAAACTGCTATTTTCTATTGATTGCAAAGAAGAACCTTGAAATTAAATAAAAGTACAGTGGAAACTCTATATTTGTCACATTTTGATGACATTTTTCCCCCATATTCATCAGTATTTTCTGTATTCATCATTTCCACCAGCAATGATGCTACAATCTCACGCATGCACCGATCAGCTAACCATGTTAGCTTAGTGTTGCCAATTTAGCTAATTTTTTGCTAGATTTAGCAGATTTATGAACAATTTAGGTATGCAAATTACCTAAATTATAATGGCCTAGCTATTTTTATAATACAGTGGGTGATTAGTTAACAAACAGATTGGTTAATGAACAAATTGGATAATGAACACTTTTGCGAAAGATTTTTATGATCAGACAACAAACACTTCACTGAACAAACATAAAAAGAAGCAATGGAAAATAATGAATACCAATTGATTTTCCCTTGTCTTCAGGTAACAACTTGAACCTTTTGGAGCATGGGAGACATCAACATCGACGCTCAATCTGATACCGATCGGATAGTATTTCCCTGAACTTTTGAAACTCTCTATTGTAATTCCAGCTTTTTGTTTACTTTTCTGACAAATAATTTTTTTATAGTCTTCGTGAGACTGTCGGGCATTCTGTAAGTTTTGTGTAGGCCTTTATTTTCTAAAAGTGAGAGTTTAACTGTCCTATCGGGTATTTGTTAATGTTTTAACATCAAAATTTTGAATTACATTTGAGCCTAACATTTACAAAATTCTTTCATGTGTTATTTGATTTCTGTTCTCTGAAGTAAGTGCTTTTCTGAACTTTTTATTTCAAACACAAATTGATAATATTATGGAGCATAAAAAGAGTGGAGTGTCAAGAACCATGCTCACCATAGAAACCAAGTAAGAGATAATAGCCAAAGTAGAGAGTGGGCAGAAGATGTCTAATGTTGCTAGGCAGTATGGCTTGAACAGGTCTACAGTAGGCACAATCTTGGCTAAGAAAGATATAATCAAGAAGACTCAAAGAGCTAAAGGAGTAACGAAAATCACATCTGAGAATCAAAGATGTTCCATCCATGAAAAAATGGAGAGATTGCTTTTAATTTGGATAAAAGATAGGGAAATGAAAAAAGATGTAACTAGTATAACTATCATTCAAGAGAAAGCTAAAGAAATTTTTGAAGAACTGAAGAAAAACTCCACATTCGTCACATGAGGAGATAGAATTCAAAGCTACTACTGGATGGTTTTCAAAGTTTAGAAGGAGAACTGGCATTAAAACATGTGATAATTCACAGTGACTTTGCTAGTGCAGATAAAGAAGCAGCTGAGAAGGTCTGTCTCAAATTTGAAGAATTCATTAAAAAAAGAAAGATATTGTCCACAACAAATTTTCAATTGTGATGAAACTGGATTATTTTGGAAGTGCATACCAAACTGTACCTACATTACGAAAGAAGAGAAAAATATTCCTGGGCATAAACCCATGAAAGACCAATTGATGTTACTTTTGGGAGCTAATGCTAGCATTCATTCATTCATTGTTGTACAAATATAGTACAGACCAGCCCCGCATTGAGCATTACCAGTTATACACATTAGATATTACAGTACTCAAGATAAAATTTTGTTACGTGTACAGAAACGATGAAAGCAAATACATATAATAGAAGAAAATAAGCCAATAAATATATAAGATAAAAACAGATAAATAAAGAAACAATGAACTTAACTATAAACAAAATTATGTACATAAAATCAGCAAGATTGCAAAGACATAGTGTTACCTTTAATAGAAAAATATAATTAACCTGAATAATGAATGTAAATAAATACTTAATGTAGCATCTTGCTGATTGGAGACTGGTGCACACAGTTATAATTGTGAGTAACTCGCCATATCATGTAAAATGTCCAATTTATACAAAAAGTTCAGGAACATCCAAATAGCATGTAAAATGCAATAGTCTAGAGGTTGCAAGACATCACAGTATAGATGTTTATCACAGTTTCAGAAACGCATTATTTCAAGGAGTGAATTTCCTGTTGGTCTGTGACAAAGTTCAGCTAGTGGTCTGCAAGTATTTCTTGTTGGTCTGTAGTAAGATACAGCTATTGATTTTCATGTATGTATATATTCAGTCCTATTTAGATATTTTGATTTTTCTCTTAGATACGTTGGACACATTTTATCCATAGTATTATGGTTATGTTGTGTTCTTTTCTCTTTCAAACAGTTGACACATTTTGTTGTTTCATGCCTATTTGTACAGTTTTTAAAAAGATGGTTCTCACCGCAATGACTGCATATGGATTCTGTGGAAGTAGAGTTTTTAGCAAAATGGCCAAAGGATAAGCATCTATAGCACTGTATTGTAGGAATAAAATCGTACACCCGACAAGTTAACCAGTTAACGTGAACTTTTCCTACTTTTATGAGTATATCCCTTATTTCAGGAGTCACCTCGACAACCCAAGAAAGGTAGTTTCTGTTCTTTTGTTTTAGAGGAAATATAATATTAATTTTTTCTGCAAAAATTTTATCGGTATAAAGATGTAAGAAGCACACGTTTTGTCCATAGATATCCTGTATTAATTCCTCTTTCACAACTGCTTTAGGAACAGATGCAATTTTCATTAATGGAAGTTGCTTTTTTGGTAAACGTGAGTTTAATCCAGGAACCTGTTGAACAGACTCTTTAAAGTATTCAACTTCATCTTTATGATTTAAGTCAACAGCAATTCCCCCATTTTTCAGTTTCTGTAATCGGTTAACTCTTACACCAAGGATATGTGGTTTCACGTGATTGGTTAAGTAACTTTTAGCTTGTTCCGAAGTGGCACCCTCCTGATCACTGTATACTAAAACTGTATGGGTCTGCAGAGGCAGTTCATGTACATTTGAGATTGGTTTAATACCTTTTTTGAGAATGTCTCTGTAGCTGGGGGCACTATCTTTTTCTCCACCAAGGATTTCATTAGAAAACTTCTTTTTAAAATTATTTACAGTTTCTTGAATGCCTGTTAAAATTTCCATTGTTTTGTCACTTTGAGTAACCCTCAACTCTTTCAAATCTTCTCTAGTAGTAAGTACAGAAAATTTTTGATCAAAGTACTCTGTTAAACTACTTTTCTTTATGAAGGTTTCTGCTAATTGGATTACCTGATTGAATTGTGTCAATATGTATGAGGAATGACATGCAACTCCCAGCTTAGCATTTGGGATGTTCAGAATATTTTTAAAATTCCTCAATAATGTCATTGGCATTATCATGAAAAATTTGTAATTCTGATTCCATTCCAATCATTAGAGACATCAATATAATCAGGAAGTATAATATAGAGAAAGTTTAATTTAAATATTAATTACTTTAAGAGAAATAAATCTATTGTTCTGAAAGCNGGAATGACACGCAACTCCCAGCTTAGAATTTAGATTGTCCAGAGAATATTTTTTAAATTCCTCAATAATGACATTGGCATTATCATGAAAAATTTTTAATTGTGATTCCATTCCAATCATTAGAGACATCAATATAATCAGGAAGTATAATATAGAGAAAGTTTAATTTAAATATTAATTACTTTAAGAGAAATAAATCTATTGTTCTGAAAGCGTGCTCAATGTCTTCCTCTTCTTTAGAGGAGTCCAAAATATATAATATTGCCAGTAAATTATTATTATAAAACAAGAAAAACGTCATTTCCATTGAAAGTTCCAGAAGCTAATGCTAGCAGTGATATGAAGCTTATTCCGCTTCTTGTCTATCACTCTGAGAACCCTAGAGCATTAAAAAAAAATTCCATAATTAAAGAAAAACTGCCCGGTGATGTGGAGATTGAATAAAAGGACATGGGTCATGCAGGCTCTTTTCAAAGAATTGCTGTTTGAAGTTTGTGCTCCAAGCATCAAGGATTACCTTCAGACCAATGAATTGCCATTAAAAGCACTTTTGCTATTGGACAATGCACCAGGACACCCAAAAGACCTTAAGATAATTTGCTGAAAGAGTTTCCCTGACTGACAGTTCAGTTTCTACCTCCAAATACCACTTCATTGATTCAATCAATGGATCAAGAGGTTATTGCAGGTTTCAAGAAATTGTAAATTTGAGCACTGTTTCGTTGGTGTTTTGAAGCATGCCAGTTCTCCTCAACAATGATATTAAAAACGTTTTGGAAAGAAAAATTTGATATTCTTGAAGCTATATGGCTCATTCAAAAGGCATGGTCAGAAGTCACTCAATGACAGTTGAATTCTGCTTGGTGAAAGCTGTGTCCCTCATGCATTCAGGGAAAGAGAGAGATGATGTCCCTGAAATTATGGATGAAATTGTGACAACTGCTAGTGATGTGGAATTGGAAGTGAATAAAGATGACATTGAAGAGCTCATAATGGAATTTGAAACTGATCTGACAACAGAAGAACTCCAAGAACTCTCAAATGAAGAATACCAAGAAACTCAGCGAGATGTGTTTTCTTCTGAAAAAGAGGAAGATGAAAAGGGATCAATGCCAACATCTGCTATTAAAGATTTTTTAAAGTGGGAGGATGTCAAAACAATGGTCTTAGAATGGCATCCAAACCAAATTGAGGTTAATAGGCTTAGGGATCTCTACAACAACAATGCTATTAATTACTTTCAAAAAATCCTGAAGAAGAGAAAAAAGCAAATCGACATTGGACAGATTCTTTAACCTCTACAAACAGAAAAAACATGACTAATAAAAATGCAAGACTGTGTATATATGTATTTTTGTTATTACATATAAATAAAACGTAGTAAAAAAAAGTATATATTTTTTATTTTTTGGAGTCTCTGGAATGAATTAATCAAATTCCCATAAAAATCTATGGTAAATTGATAATTGGTTAATGAACAATTTGGATAACAAAGTCTTGAAACGGATTACATTTGTTAACTGATCACCCACTGTACTATATAGCTACAAAAACTCAATTTTGATGGAAACAATATGATTTGAATATTTTTATTAAAATGTCTAGCTATAAATTTGAATTTTGAGTTGGCAACACTGTCAGCTAGCTGTAGTTAATCAGTCTGCTTTGTACGTGTTCTTGGTTTCTAGCGTTGAATATTTTTAAAAAATCAAGTTCCAACGGCTTCAATAAAGCACACTGAAGAAAAACAGCAAAGAAGGAAAGCTGTTAGAACAACAACAGAAATAAAAGATTATTTCTAAGTCTGAAAATTGACAAAGAGAGGTTGCAGCCGAAGTTTTCATCTCTAAAACATGAATGTCAAACGTTGAGTGCCGCCATCTTGTAAGCCTAGAAGTTTGACAATGGCATTTGGAACGTTGAGCATTATTCCAATGACATTTCAAATGCCATTATCAAACTTCTAGGCTTACAAGATGGCGGCACTCAACGTTTGACATTCACATTTTAGAGATGAAAACTTCAGCCGCAACCTCTCTAGAGTTTCCAACTTAGCCAGAAATTTTAAGATGCCGAGATCATAATTGGAATTACCTAATGTTTTAATTGATGGTATGTCTTCTAAACAATAACAACTTTACTCTTCTTCCCTTTCTACCACTATACTGATTTATTTAGTACAATAAAGATAAAGTTTTACAAACAACAAAATTTTTATTTTTGTATCTTTTTTTTAGGATCGGAACAAATTAATTGAATATCAGTTATTTATTATTTATTATGATGATTGTTTCTGTATTCGTCATTTTCCATATTCATTAGATTCTTAGGAACAAATTAATGATGAATATAGAGGTTCCACTGTAAATGTAAAAAACAGGGATCCACAATTTTGTTATTGATTTAAAGTGGGGTCAAAGTGACAATGTCTGTGCTCCTTAAGCATGCCTAATAAAATTTAGGGGTTAAACAAAAGACAGCATTGTGTGCACCTAACAGAAAATGGATGGAAAAATTGAACAGAGCACAAGAACAAAGCAATTAGCAATGATTGCTTTTAGTTTTGGTTTTATTCATATACAGCAACGCAATACATGGGCAATCTGCCAAATGGGAATACCTCTTAGGAGGTCTTATGGAAAACTGGCCCCCTATTTAGGCATTACTAACATGAATAAAACCTGAAAAACTCCATGTAGCCAACCTGTTAGCCAGGTGCAAAGTTACAACCAACTACCAGTGTTCAGTGGTTTTATCTACATCACCACTGATGGGCATTGCCATTGATTGCTTTGTTCTTGGATCATCTCTTTGTGTTGGTAAGGACCAGGATCATCTTTGTGTGACAGCCAGTACAAGGATCCCTCTTTCGTGACCAACATGCTATGAGGATCATAGCCCAGCAGGGTATGATCAAAGATTGCCTCTCGTGACCAGTGGGCACAAAGATGCCTCTTTCATGATGACAAGTGCAAAGTTCATTTGTCTGGAATCATCGGGTACAAGGATTGCCTTTTCTGTGTTTAATAAATGCAAGGATCATGTCTTGTCAATCAATCCAACAAAAATCTGGTAAGTGTGGAAAAATCATCACTATTGCACATGAAAATGGGTTAAAATAATTTTAAATTACCTTTGATTTCTTTGTAATAAATCACATATTTTTTCATTTAAACTTTGAATTTTTCCACTCTTTTCATCAATTTCCTGTTTTAATTTATTATTCTCCTAGAAAAAGTTAAAAGTTTCAAAATTAATATTAAATAATAATTTATGGGAAAAAAGCTCTTAAATTTTATGTAATTAAGCAAAAAATTTCAAATAATCTAACACAGTACAGCATCAATTATCCAAAATAACCAGACCAGGACATTTTTAAATAACTGATCACACTCTGTAGGAAAAGAAAATTTTAATTCCTGTATAATAGTTAGTTAAAAAAAATTAAGGCATAGAAATTTAATGCGCAAAAATGATTAAAAATTTAAAAAATGTCTAATTTATTACAAACAAGCACTAGTCTTTCATTGCAACAACACAATATATTGATGAAACTTTTTAATTCAAAATAAAAAGTATATAATAGTAAAATTAACAAGAAGAAACCTCAATAATGAACCTCAGAAGATCGCCAACAATTATTATGTAAAAAAACTAATTTTTGGAATTAGTATGCTCTGAAGTTGATGTCAGTTAATCAATTTTATGGATAATCAACACACTACTGTACAATTATTAGTAGAAAAAGAACATAGGACAATATGACAATTGCAATAGTTATATAGAGAGCAAAACAAATAAATTTACAAGATATCAATTTTAAACATTACAGAATATAGAACTGTTTAAATTTAACATTACAAATATAAAGAAAATTTTATTATAGATTGTGTTAAATGTTCAATTAGAAATGGTGCAAATAGTCTAAATAATGTAAGATTTAGTTAATCTCATGTACCCAGAAAAGTAAGAAATAACAAGCCAGATTTATTATTGGGCTATGTTTTGGCTAATTAAATGAACTAATGCTACATAATTTAGACTGAACATATTAAATTTAATAACTTTGAATACCAGAAGAAAATACAGTACAGCATCAATTATCCGACCCCCGATTAACCGTCATCTTGGCTAACTGACCACGTTCTAGTCGGCAAATTCAAATGTCCGCTAGTGATGTGGCACTACAATACTTGGCTATGTCTTGGCTACTTTAATAGTACTTCTATGTGTTTTAGCTGACAACACTGGCTCGACCATGAAAGGGAGGCAAGTATTTAAACGAGGCTTAATTTTGTAATTATGAGTGGTTGTTTGTTTTGTGAGCAATAAAATAATTTAAAAATAATTTTTAATGATACAACAGCGGTTATTATTTTAAAAAAATTTTTGTTAGGCTTAACATGGAAAAAAAATTCAACGCGAAGTATGTTAATAGCGATATACTAATATACTAACTACATGGGATATAATAATATACTACACTAATAATGAATTTTTTCATACTTTTCGGTTATCCGACTTTTCAATTATCCGACCAACCCCAGTCCCCAATTGAGTCGGATAATCGATGCTCTACTATATATATGACTAAGTATCAAAATGAAAATGACAAACAGTCAAGATTATAAACATTGTTAGTATTAAAGGGAAAATATTGAGTAAGGAGAAAGAAAAATACCTTTTCTTTTGTGTGGTTTATGACAAAGTTACTTGAATGTTTACTAAAGTTGAATGATCATTCAAAAGATGTTAGCTAAGTACTTTAAATACAACAATTATATAAATGCCTAACCGATGTCACATTTAAATATCATTCTTCACATCATAAAGGAACTGACTGGGTTGCTGTTCAAAAAAATTGTAGACCTACAAATTCCCACTGTTGTCTTTCTGTCCTTCATCTTGAGAATGGAGTTAGATGAAAGTTGAGACCAGATATGGAAAGCTTAGGGGCAAGAGACCCCGAAACAAACTTCTGGTTTGGACCAGAAATCACATTATCTCAATTAAAATATTTTATCCGTAAAAGGAGTTAGAAGGATAACCGACAAGACTATTGCTAACAGGAAAGTATGAAGTACAGGGGCAAGATACTACTAACTTGAGATGGACAGCATATATTTTAAATTAAATAAATTAAAACTATGATTAAAAATTGCAGCCCTGCATTGTGATGATGTCACAATAAAATAATTGCACATTAACTTTTACATTTATTCTGAACTAATATCAGCCTTCATTTTTTTAAAGATAATTAAAAATATACAAAACTGATGTTTTACTTGAAACTTAATAAATGAATAATTTGTTTAAAACTGCAGCATTCTAAGCACTAACATTAAAACTATGATCTGTAATTTATACTACGCTTCTATTCCATATCTTCAATATCAACATATAAACTATTTTTTTATTTATTATATTGTTTACTTTTTATATAAACAATACTTTTATATATTTACTAGTGTATTGGAAATGGTCTCTGCCTTGTTTAGATCATATAAAAGTAAACCCACTGATTAGAGAAATATTGTAATTTCCAAAATGCATTTTGGTAAAATATAATAGTTGATTGATTGGTAATTACAGCATCTGTGGATTTGATTATTCCTAGAAAATTACAGTATTTTGACCATTTATATATTGATACTAACATCAAGAAGTTTTAACAAAATCACTATAAAAAATTTGACTTTCTGAAAATTATATTTTAAATTTTTATTATTTAACTTCCTGTATTAACTTATTTCTGTAACTAAAACTACAACACAAGCATTTCAGTGTTTTTGCTGTTTTACAATTTGTGTTTGTTATTCATTCTGCTCAATTTTATAAACAAAATATTGCAGAATGTACAATATTGGATGTTTTGTTATCTATTTTAATCCTCATATTGTAAAAATTAAAATAAATTTTGTAAATTTATTGCAGCAATTGAATATCAACAAAGTTGTTTTAGTATATAATTGGTTGAATATTGCAAAAAATATTTAATTATATCAGAGTAAATTGAAACTTACTTTGAAGACTGTTAACAGTGACATTTATACTAAAGTACTTATTAACAAAAAATTCTACAGAATGAAAACTTTAATTTTGATACTGCAACACAAGTATATTTTTTTTTGCAAGATAGGAACCATGCAATTGTTTTGTCAAAGTACCTTCTCTCTCTATGGTAACAATCTTTACATTTCAGACCCTCAGTCCCTCATCAATTACAAAACAGCACTTTACAGTAAATTTGCTTATTTACATAATATTCCCATTCAAATATAGCTCATCACAAAGTCTAAACCTTACAGTATTCTATTAACATTTGAAATTCAATTGCTTTTTTTTTCTTTTTCTTCTCGAGAATGCACTTTGACAGCACAAAATGCATTTTATAAAGACTGATACCACAGAGAAATAATGTACTTTGGCAAAAAAGCCACTATACGATTTCAGTTTTGGGAAGAAAATCTGTCTTTTTGTAATATAAACTACCAGTTTAATTGAAGAGAATAGTTTAATTTTGATAGTTTAAGTTTATTTTCTATTAAAATAATTATCATCTTTAGAGTAAATGCTAACAAATATTTAAATAAACATCTTGCATACCTGTACTATTCTTTGGATATTCTGCAATAATACAGACGATTCAAGATATGGAATTTGTCCAGAAAATGCTGACTGATGTTTTACGTCATCTAACTGAAAATATGTAATTTGATTTTAATTTCAAACTGGTAACAATTTTTATTGTAAGAAGATCAATTTGAAATAATTTGAAGATATAGTAACAAAAAGTTTTTCATTATAAATTTTTCAAAAAGAACTTTAAGTATCTGGTTTACAACTAGATTTCACATTTTAATTATTCATTTTATTTTCTAAATAACTGAGTTTTAAAAATAAAGAACATTTACTGACTTATAGAACATTTATCTAATAAAATGAAAAAAAAATTTACTCATTACTTATTACATTTTTAGTAAAAACAATTGTAACTGTAAACATTATGTCACCTTAAATGTCAATATTAATTTATATTCATATTCACCTACGACTAAATTAATCTGGTTCAGATCAAATTAGCATTTGATTTAATTATAATCATAATATTGTCAATTTACATTAAGGAAATAATTATTTAGAATGAGTCACTTTATCAAATGATTGGTGCATTTATCAAAATTTATAGTAAATTTTTTTTACAACAAAAACGAAACAAGGCCAACAAAAACAAAATGGCAGAGTTATCGTGTTCGTCCAAGCAAATCGCTCGGACAGGTTGATTTTATTCTCAAGGGGGATATCTTCAACAATAAAGTTTTTGCAATTCTGAATACGACAGACAACAAAAAATTTTAAAAACTCATTCATTTTTTTATTAACTAAACAAACATTTATTTCGGAAAAAAAGTAACACAAACTATTAACAAACATAAAAAACCTTTTACACTGGACTGCATATGCAAGGAAAAAATATAGTTAATAAAAAAATGAATGAGTTTTTAAAACTTTTTGTTGTCTGTTGTATTCGGAATCTCAAAAACTTTATTGCTGAAGATGTCCCCCTTGAGAATAAAATTGACCTGTCCGAGCGATTTGCTTGGACGAACACAATAACTCTGCTGTTTCGTTTTCGTTGGCCCACCCTGTATATTACAATATGCACAAACAATTTCATACAGGCTAATAATTTCATACATAAAGCATGTACAGTACAGTAAAATAACTTTAAATGTAATGTGATTTAAAATTAAAGATTACTTATATCAGAATGCAGTGAAAGTTGTGTAAATAGTATACTTTTTTGACTTGAAAAACTTCATATGAAGCAGAATATGTATTTAATTATAATATTACGTCAACATCTTTCATACACTACAAAATAAAAAATTATACCTTATGTAAGACTACGTCTACTTTCTCTGTAATCTTTCCTAATGCAAGTCTGACTTCTGTATTTTGAGTCCTGGTCTCGGACAACAACAACGGAAGATGAGTGTCAGCAATACTCGTCATTACGGCGGGAGAACCAGTAGCAATCGCATGATTTGGAAACGGTTGTTGAAGCACATTAAATGGCACAGTTGATGCAGAATATGGAAATGGATAAACGTTATTTGGCTAGAAAAATACAATTCTTTTAAAATTTTAAATAGCTGATACAGCAAATAATCAAACATTTTATTATAAGTGATGTAATCTATAAAACAGTACCTTAAGTCAGAAAAATCAATTTTCATTTTTTAAGTGCATATCGTTCTATGAACATAGAAAAACAGCTCTAGTGGTTAAAACCTAAATGAAATACAGCATTTTGAAAATTTAATTTGTAAAATAATAATTTTTGAGAAAAAGGGCTTTAAAATTTTACTTCAAATATGCAAATTTAGACTTTGATTGTGATTTTTTTGCTGTACAGCAAAATTTTCTGACTTAAGATAACATTTCACAGATTACCAATTTTTATTTTCAGATATGTGATGCATATAATAATGAACAATGCTATTAAAATCAATAATCAACTTATTAAAATATATTAATTAAATTATCCACAACCGTGAGGCAGATAATAGTGAGGGCTTATCAGACCAATGATGGGCACAAACGCTCAGGGATCAAAGTGAAAACAATTTAATAAACTCAAAAAATTACTACATAAGTGTGAGAACAAAAACCCAAAATGCATTTTGGACTATTTTTCCAAAAAAAATAGTTAGAAAATAGTACCTCATCAGTTGGTATTAGTTAAAGGTAATGCTATAATAAAATTATACAAGGTAACGGTCAACTTAAAAACTAAGCCTAAAGTTATACAATATAAAAATTGAAGACACTACTGTAACAGTATGAGTAGTAAGCATCATCAGTAGGTATTATCTAAGGTAGATGGTATATTAAAAATTGTACAAAGTAAAGGTAAACTTAAAACTATGCCTAAAACTATACAATATAAAAGTGAAGACGCTGGTTGTGGATAATTTAATTAATATATTTATATCAAGGGCTAGAAGCAACTTTTGTAATAATTTCGTTATTAAAATATATTTAAAATTTTAATTTAAATTAAACTTGAATTAAGTACACAAATGAAAGATTTCAAATCTATTTATTAAACATTTGGGAGTTTTCACACTAGACATAATTCTTGAAAACAGGAAATATAATTAAAGATATAATGAAATTTATTCATATTATGTTATAATTTATCTTTGTCCTTAAAATAATGAAAAAGTTAATAAAACAAATCTGGAAATTGCACAAATATATATACATCAATTGATTATTGACACTGCTACATCTATTGAAAATATAATGCATGTTGGTCAGTTTTGTAGTTTAAAAAGAGTATATACTGTAAGATTTCAGAAATACAATGTTGTGCAATTAAGATACGATATCGTTAATATGTATTTGTAATAAAACAATACTTACTAAATATTGTGGAGGTTGCATAACAGCCATTTGTTGTGTTACTAAAATATAAATTTAATTTATTTTATTTTGAGAAAAACAGAATTTTTAAATTGTATTGAGTAGTAACCTGGTGCTGGTGCAGGTTGATTTGGTTGCTGAAAACTAGTTGCATTCGATGTGCTTCTAGGTTTTGGTACTGGTTTTGGAGATTGTTCTCTTGTCAAATTTTCTTGACTTGTAACTGGAGAGCTTCTTGCTTTAGAATGTATTTCTTCCTATTTTAATACAGAAATGAAAATGTCAATTATAAAAAACGAAGAAATAAAAATGAATACTTTTTAAATTAATTGCATGCATTTACAAATATCTTTAAACCTCATGTATTAGTAATAAGCCAAACTACCACTGGATTACATTGGACTACTTTTCCGCAATTATTTTTAATCTCTAAACAATTTGTCACTAGAGGAACACATTAGGTTTTAATAATTTAATTATAAACACCTAATTTAATTATAGTGTGGATTTGTAATTATAAGCATCTAATACCTCCCTCTAGTGACAAATTATTTATAGACTAATTAAAAATAATTGTGAAGAAGTAGCTCAATGTAATCCGGTAGTCATTTGGATTGTTATTAATTGCATAAATTTCTATTCTCTTTAAAATTTTTAAATTCACATATCATTTTAAAACCTTCAAATGTGTCTTAAAGCACAAACAGTTGAAAAGTTACTACACTAAACAAAGCAGAAAATAAACAGAAATAAATAATCATTTAAAATATTTCGCACTTACGTCTGTTTCAGATTCACTGCTTTGCTGACTGGTTCCACCAATTTGTTTCGGTAACAGAGACATTCCCATTTTAGCCATCCGAGATATTATTTTTGCTTTTTCATCCTTTGGGCTCTAAACAAAACAAGATTATTATATCACACCTAAAGCAGAAAACACTTATGAATACCATACATCAAATCTTTGTTACCTGAGACAACTGTTCTGAAATGGAAACTCCTCTTGCTCTTATTGAATCTTCACTTCCTATACTATGAATTTTATAATGTATTTATTTCTGACCTTTAAAACATTAATTAAATTTATAGGAACTATCTTATACTATCTCACATGAACTACCTATATTACAAACATCAATATAAGTAATCATTTGCCTGTATACGCACAAAAATTATATATATGTGTAACATATACAGGGTGTTACAAAAGATGTGAACCAATCTCATAACTTGGGAATGACTGAAGATAGGAGGATTGGACTATTACAGCAAATTAAAGTGCAAGGAAAGTGTGTGTCCAAAAGCTCTTTTTTTTTAATTTTAATTTTTCTTTAGAAAGCTATTACCACAGTTTAGGCAGAGAATCAGTGTGAGATAGATAAAAAGGACTGAATCCCTACCTAAACATGGAACTGGCTTTCTAAAGAAAAGTTAAAATTCTTATTAAAAACTCCATAATCAACAGGAGATCAAAGATTACCTAGCATCAATTTTGTTTTTGTGATGATTGAACATGTCAATAGTAACATTACTCACTCATAACACAAAAAGAGTCTGGAAATCTCTTTACTCAGTAAAATGTTCGTCTTCAGACCAATCAAAATCAGAGTAGGAACTGCATTCAAGAATAAAATTCAGTATTACATGGATCAGTCCTTCTCTCATGCTAATGTGTGCAAACTTTACTCAATAAACGTAAGTCCAAAATTTACAAACCAGACTGGGAAGAATCTACTGCTCAACAAGCAAAACCTCAATAAAATAAACAGAGAACAGCTGTAGTATATTCCTCCATTTCAAATTAATTTGGTCCAATATAAGTTGATTGATTGAAAGCAGTTGCCAATGTTTCTATTCTATAATATTGTTTATGCCAATAAAGTAACTTGTTTTATAATTTTGTTCAGCTTTAATGTTTTGGTACAACTAAATTAGTTCTTTAAAAACACATCAACTCTTATCTTTTATTTGCATTGTAAAATTGAAAAGTAATGCACATGATGCAGTAAGATTTTTTAAATACAATTATCAAAATTATTAGATATCAAACCTGGGTGAGTGGGTTTTAGTGGATATTGAATCTCTCTTCTTTATCTCGCTTCCAGAATCGACTTCATTAACTGAAGGCGTGGATGACCGAGAGGTTTCTTTCCCAAATTTCACCTAGAAAGGTTTTGAATTTTGAAACAATTAATGTTATAATTAAATTATCAAAGTAAATAAACATTAACTTCAAAGACTGATCATTTAATTTATGGGTAATGTTAAATTTTTCTTTATTCTCATCTTCTAAGTCTTTTGATGTTATGTTATGCTTAAAACACTCCCTTGGCCCGTATACATCTCTTCCTTTGCCATATAACATCATATGTTTTCTGGAATCTATTTTCTGACAATGTTGAAAGTTATTGTTCCTACTCTCTGTGCATCTCTTTATCAATTCAAAAGAACTTGCATTTTGCAGTTTTCTTTAGTCACAAAAACAGAAGTAAAGAAATCATTCAGGGTTTAATCCAGTGAACACAGGTTGCAAATCTCAATTCTAATTGTAATATTTACTGTGTGGAATCATCAAGCTGCATAGCATGAAATTTTTTCCTCATAACTGTTATGATGAGGAAAAACTTTAAGTTAACAAATTCTGGCTATTTTTTACAGATGGCATGGCAAAATGTTTACTTGAAAATCTCAACATATGTTTTTTTATTGTTTGTTGAAGCACAAAATGTGAAACTGTTCATTTTGGTCTTCTTGCTTCATTGCCAATGCAGACAATTAATAAAAAACATCTACAAAAGGGTAAAGCCAAATGACTGCCAAATTATTGGGCTATAACATAGCTCTGTATTTGATTATAAATGAATAAATTTATTATAATTATTAAGTCTAGCACAAGATGACAGCATAACTGCCTACCTCTAGAGAAATGTAGTATTTAATTAAATTATATAGCTATATTATAGACCAATAATTTGGCAGCCATTTGATTTTAACCACAAAAAATATTGAGAACAAAAGGAATATATATATATAGAGTCTAGCCACAAGGCTTCAAAGAGAGGACATAACTGGCATTTTCCAAGAGATTTCCACAAGAAAAAATACTGAAAAAAATTCAAATTAAATGATCAGTTCTCATATATAATGCTCATCAAAACTCAAGAAACAAATGTAAATTTCAAAATACTTCAGTACAATATCATATATTTATGAGATTGTATACATGACAAACAAATCAATATTGAGATTTTCCAAGGAATATTTATGTATTTGTAAAAAACTAATTATTAAAAAATATATTCTATTTAAAAACTTAAATGGAAGAGTCCTTCTTTTCAACTTACTTTATTTACAAAAACTTCAAATATTAAAGTTGATTTTGGTGGAATTTTGCTCATTTCTTGACTATCATAACCAAGATGAGGAGGAACAATAACTAGACGCCTGCAATTTTTACGAACTCCTACAAGTCCTTCTTCCAAACCCTACATTTTAGAATAAATACAAAAAACATATGAAGAAAAATAACTATCAGAAAGTAATTATACTAGCAAAGAACATAATTTAACATTAATACTCTTTTCTATGAAGTATAAGTGCATAAAAATAAAGTATAACCTTAATTCTAATCTAACACTTATAATCGAAGGTTTAGTAACAATACAAAGTATAAATATAATTCAATTTAAATTTCAGTTATGTGTATTATTATAGTTTAGAAAGTTTTAATTTTAATTATAATTTTCTAAAATATAAAAAAATTGTCACTGTTATATTAAATGTGTTTTTCTCCCTTCCTAAAATAACTGGCTTCTTTTTTTAGTTGTTGTTGCTTTTTTTTTATTAAAATAAAAATATTTTAAATTTAAGTTCATTTAAACAATTGAGATAGTAGTGATAGCTAATTTAATAAGCTACTTTTTTTACAATATTACATTTACAAAAATGTTTAAAATAATTTGAGACCTGTTCATGGTTAAATATAACAATTATGATGGAGTACACATTTGCTAAGCTGACTTCTCAATTATCTGGCATATCTTCAATGTGATCACTAGACAGCAGACATCTAGATCCTTAAAAGTGACGTTTTAGGTATTTAAAATAAGCTCTTAAATTGCATCATTTAGGCTTTATAAACAAAAAATAGGAAATCAAACTTTGCACAATGAACAATTAACATACTGATCAGGACAATGAATCTTTTATTTAACATATGTATTCCAAACAAAAATGCATGTATTCAGAATGATGCAAACACAAAAGTAGATATACAATTAACTTTACATTTTTTATTTATTCTGTTTCCTATAGTTAGCTGCATAATATATTACGAGCACTTTTTCCAAATTTTCAACAGAAAAATTGCAATGTTTGTCACTGAGAATTAATTTATATGCAGAAAAAGAGCATTCCACATCTACTGAAGATAACAGACAGTATTTCAACCTTGGATGAAGAAGAACTGGGAATTCACTTTCAATTATGTTGTTCTTTCCTGCCAAAATATCAGCCACAATAAACAAGCACTTTAATCCAAGTCTCTTTTGAAGCACTGCTCAACAAACTCAACTCTTTCTTCACTTTTTTGAAATGAAATGAAAAATTAATAAAAACTTTTTAAAAATATGGAAACAGACTAAAATTTGTGTTTTAAGCAAAAATAGGCAGCAACATCAAAATAAGCATTTTTAGTCATTATAAAATACCATTGTTTCGGTCTAAATGTTCATGAAAAGTGTTTACACAAAATCTTAGCCATGTATATGCCAAGGAAAAAATTAGGCATTTGCCTAAAACCCGCTGTCTAGTGATCACCTATGTACTTTCAATTCCATGAAAACATTACTCGTATCATATAACCTGCTTTCCCCATTTAGTTGGGTTTTATTTCTGTGTACAATATTGCATGTCAATATTATTTTTCCGCCTACCTCAAGATATGAATTGGCACTGAAGGTTAATAGGTCACATCATCTGTTCTTTTTAAGCAGACTTTAGGCTATATAATCTCACTAATCTTGCACTTCTCTGTGCAATGAATGGTTGAATTATGTAGATTTATATTAATTTTTCCATCATGCATTACTTTTGAGTTAAATTTCTTTAAAAAAAACAAAGTGTGATTTAATTAGTCAAAAAAATTAGTCAGGTAAAAATGAAAATATGATTAAAAATCTCAGCCTGGCATTGTGATGATGTCATAAATAATTGCTCATTGTTTTTAAATTTCTTCTAATGGCTCTTCTGATAGTTTACAATTCAATATCATATTTTCAAGTTTGTCTGTATGTTTATTTTTCTTATTTTTATCATAAAAAACTTTATGGACAACAAAATAAAAATATGTTATTAATTGAAAGTCTGTTCTAATGGGTTGAATTTGTCCAGTTGAGTACACAGCAATTTTTTTTCTCCAAAATTTGTTTGAATACAGAGATACAGTCATATTTGTTCATCATTTTTATGAATGATTACTACCTACAGTTAAAAAAAGGCTTAATAACACTTACCTAAAAATTTCTAAATATGCTTTACTAAATACAAAGACTAATCTATAAAATCAAAACATAGTGACAGTCTTAAGAACTAAAGTCTAAAAGTAATGACAACACCTGGTTGATAGAAATGCTAGAACAAGAAAGAAAAAGAAATTGCATTGTCATTTTTCATTAAAGTAAACTTACTTGAATAAAAAAAAAAAATATTGAATAACGAGTTTGCACTTAAAAGTTGCAAAATATTGTACAGAGGATTTTCCCCAATTTTCGAATCACATTATAGCGAATCTTTGTTATATGACGAATACCTGTATATATGATTTGTGACGTGATCTATAAAACAGTACCTTAATTTAAAAAAAAAATTACTTTCATTTTTTGATATTTTACAGACTAAGAGAAATATTTAAAAAAGAAAGACAGCTTGATTGTATCTTGCTCAATTTTTAACCAAACTAAATTTTCAAAACACTAAAATCACTGAGTAAAACAGTTTTTCTTCAAATTTGCAAAAAAATTACATTCAATTAAACTTGATTACTTTATTAATTTGTACAAGGATCTAATGAATCTGATCTAATGAACAGAAATCTAAATTTTGACAATTTATACCTTAATTGAAAGTTTTTGCTCTAAAGCAAAACTTACTTTTCTGACTTAAGGTACTTTTTTATAGATTGTACCACACAATTAAAAAATTTTTTATGCTGTAAATTGTGAAGTACACATTAATTTTACAAATTAATCATGGTTTTAGAAATAATCTACACTTTTTTCTTTTGGCTGGAACATTTTTCTGTTAAATACAAAAAACTGGTTTGGGTCAGCAGAGTTCGAATTAGTGAGAACATAATCTGGATATAACTGAGTACGGTACATCAGAAATTAACTCTTTAAACTTTGATCAAGAAACTTAAATCCATAATAATATAATATTAAATTATGAAAACTGAATATATCTCATTTACCTTGATTACTTTTCCTTTCCCCAACTTCAGCCTGAGAAATTTATCGGAATTTTCATTTGAATCAAACATCTGGAAAAATTTTAATATATTAGTACACAAACAAAATCTGAATTAAAAGTCAAATTTAAAAACAACTGCAATTCACAAAAAAAACATTTGGAATTTATAGCTTTGATCCTATTCTGCTAGTATAAACAACTACCTTTAATCCAGCAATTAATTATAATTAAGGAACAAAATACAGTAGTATCTCAGGATATGAATGCTCCAGGATACGAAATTTTCAGGATACAACATGAAATTCCAACATAATTTTGCTCCACGGTACGAACAAAAACTCACCATATGATTACATTAGTTTGCAGCGCCATTTTTATTCAAAATTACTACTTACTTAAGCCTGTAACCGATGCGAAATCGTAAAATATTAACGCACAAACATTTTCAGAACACCTTCCGTGTTCTTCCTCAGGTTTTCAAACTGGATTTTTTATATTCTGGAACACCGCTATGAAATTTTTCAAAAAACGAATGATGATATTTCGAACGCTCGGTGTCCATTGCGCACGCGTTGTACACGTTGTGTTCCTGATTGTTCAGAGTCCCATTCAATCTTCTAATCATTATGTAATTTCTCTCGTTATTCATACGATGTAGTATTCTAGCCTTCCACGTCATGTGTCCCCCCGCATCATCCGGTGTTAAATCAATCTTTACGAATCATTATGCAAAACGGCCTGCCAAGCGTACGAAAGAGCCATCTCCTCCCGTGTATTAATGCACTCCGATGAAGTGTGTGCCTTAAATATCTCCACCACCTCTAGCCATTTGAGGTGGTCCATCTGTGTCGTTTTAACTATTAACGTTGCCCCTGCGAAGTCAACCGTAATATCTGGGTCAGAAGCATACACCGACAGTGACGTGGTGGCTCTGTTGTGACATATGTCTGCTTTGTGTTCACTCATTCTTACCCCCATTCAGCATTTCGTAGACCCTATGTAGACTAGATCTCTGTCGAATCTTTCATCCCTAACAGGGATCCGATATATTCCCGGCAATTTTATCGGGTCAGACGGGTCCTTCCCATTACGTAGTATGTCAAACAGTTGAGCCTCTCTTGAATGGGACTCTGAACAACCGGGAACACAACGTGTACAACGTGTACAACGCGTGCGCAATGGACACCGAGCGTTCGAAATATCATCATTCGTTTTTTGAAAAATTTCATAGCGGTGTTCCAGAATATAAAAAATCCAGTTTGAAAACCTGAGGAAGAACATGGAAGGTATTCCGAAAACGTTTGTGCGTTAATATTTTACGATTTCGCATCGGTTACAGGATTAAGTAAGTCGTAATTTTGTTTATATAACCCGGTGTGCTTGTAGGAGTTATTCATTCTTATTCACTTCTGTTCATTGGTCTCAGTCCGTGTGTTTGCTTCATCATAGAAGAATCTCACTCAATAAAGGAAATCTTGAGGTATTATCAGAAAGTGACTGATTTTATCAAAAAGAAACATCCCGAAAAGGTTCACACTGGTCGTATTGCTGCTCAGAGTAATGACATTTGCCTAAGTCATTTTAAAAACATTTTAAAAAGTAGGCAATGCCAAACCTCTTTGGACAGATATTTTACCAAGTGACCTCTATCCAATGAAAGTGCTGGTGGAAGTGAAGGAAAGAAAGCAAAAAGCAGTGAATAAAAAATTTTTAAAAATATATAAAATAGAAAAGATAAAAAATTAGTGTTAAGTTATTTTTAAGTTATTGTTACATTGTTATGTAAGTTAAGTTTTAGTATTATTTCCCTTCCTACTCTCCTCCGCCACCAGTTTACCTTTGAGGATAGACGACAGTGAAGGTGTAAAGTGCAAATAAAACTACATTTTTTTTAATCTATTATTATTCTATTATGGTTATTTATACATTTACAACTACAAAATGCATTTTTCAGTGTTTTCCTTACTAAAGTTTTTTTTTTCAATGTACTACTTAGATTTAATTTGATTGTGTTTTTCGTGTTGGAACGAATTATTTGGTTTTACATGTAATATGGGAAAAAATGATTCACCTTATGACATTTTCATGATACAATCTCAGTTTCGGAACAGATTAATTTTGTATCCTGAGGTACTACTGTAGTTTGGGTCATGTTCAACAGCCATCTTCAGATTCAAAATGTAGAACAAACAAACAAACTTTGTTTGTTCTACATTTTGCAGTTATATATTGCACTGTTGCATGCATAAATTCAATTTAAACTTAGATGTACTGTACATTGAAATAAAATTTAACATACTCTCACTACATTTTAGCTGCTCATTGTTTTTCCCCCTTATTTTAAGCGTCAACATAATCAATAATTTTGACTGAAAGTATTTGTTATTTTAGTCAGTTTCATTCTATAATTATGCAAATTATGAAGGATTTAACACAAACTAAAAAAAATCCAGTTTAGGAGAAGGGGAAAAAAGAGGGGAGGAGGAGGAGAAGGGGAAAAGAGGGGGAGAAGAAAAGAAAAAGAAAGGGGCAAAACAGAGGAAGGAAAAGAGGAGAGGAGGAAGAGGAGGAAAAGAGAAAGGGAGGAGGGGGACATTATTTTCGGAAGCCACTGAATGTTGGGGTTAATAACCCATAAAAGATTAAGGACCGTTGATTTTTGTTCATACAGGAGATCGATAATCCTGAAAGCCCCCATTTCATTCACAGCCCTTTATTACACTGAAAACTCAAAATAAAACAAGACCGAATCTAAATACTGCAATATTAGTTTGATATTAAAAAAAATAATAATAATAATTCGTTTGAGCATTTTACTAAGTTCTTAAAAAAATTTCCGGCAACATTTAAAACTGTGTGTGGCGCCATCTGTTAAAACTATATTTTATTAAAAAACTTTTTATAACTATTATAAAATGGGAACACGCTTAATTTTGAGGGTAAGGAAGAGCTTTATAAAAACTTGTAAATGCTAATAATGGGTAAAATCGTCGTTCAGTCCGACCCTACTCGAGATACACACGACCCCCATTATTTTCCTACTTCCTCGACCTTTAACCACTAAAATTTAATAGCATCAATCCCCCTAATAAACAAACCTCCTTGCAAACTTTCAGAAATTTTCGACAAAAAGTACAGGAGTTCTTAAGTTTCAAACAGGGTGAACAAAATCATGCCCCCCCAAACACGCACTAGCATCCATACTTCCGAACACGCACTAGCATCCATAATTTCTGTATGTATATACAGAAATTACCCCCGAAACGTTTTGTATTTCTCAACGTTTCAAGGTGTCCTGAGTACAAAAATGTAAAAATCTGGTGGGACATTTTTTGACCGATCGCCACACTTTCCCTCTTAAGTATAACAGGAGCCCTGGAAATAATAATGTAACAGTGTTCAATCAAGTATTTTATATCAAAGACAACACAATCATTGTCTTGTGTGATGATGTTGGGCATTAACTGGTTCAGTCTTAACTCCTTTGAGGCATTCCAATTTTTGATATTAATGTAATTAAACGTAAAAAATACTTAAAACTGAAAAAAACGAAAGAAATGCGTTAATTTTGAAGAAAAAGCTTCAAATTTCATTTTCCTTTGTCTCGCCTTTCCGTGAAATCTGACGCTGATGAGTCATTGTTTACACAGCTGGATGACCTTGAACACAGCTGGAGTTGGATTTCCCGGGACATTCTCATAGAAGTCTCGGGAGGCGATGGGTTTATAGTAGGGTAAATACTAGCTGGCCGTATATTTTAAAATATTTTTAAAAAATTAAAATTTTTATTGCGATTTCCGACCCCCCGACTTAATTAAACTTATATATAATAAAATCTATTAATTAACAAAATTTAAAAAACTATTGGAGGTCGTTTTTGACATCAGAAACTAGCTTTAAATAACTTTACCGAAGTAAAATCCGTGCACTACAACTTTAGAACGATGAATGAAATTTGATATCAAACTCCCATTAAAAAACAATTAAAAAGTAATTAAGCGTGAATCGTGCGTCATTAAAGGTAAATTAAAATCGCGATAAAATTTTTTCGCGCGGGAAAAAAATTTTGAAAAAATTTGGAGACTTAAAAAACATTCCAAAAATCCAAAAAAAAAATTTTTTAGGGGGTCCAAACGCCCGAATTTTATGTAACGCTATAGAACTTGCCCGAGATATCTCGGGATATGTCCTTAACAAGTGGCTTCTACTAAATACAAACGAAAAATGGCGGATGGCCTTTTGATCACGTCGATGAGGTCGTTGGAAATAAAGTCAACCGGAATTAGTTGAATTTTTCTGCCGAGCGATGCCACAATAACACGCATAGACTTATGAGCAGTACTAAAACATAGAAGTATTTTAGAAGAAATAATTGAATTTTGAAATTCATATATTTAAGCTGCAATTTTCAAGTTGCAGGTCTATAGATTCTTACTATCGTCTTCCTTAATTTTGAGAACGGAATTAGATGAAAATCGAGATTATGTAAAGCTTAGGAGGACCCGATTAAGTAAACTTTCGGCCTGGATCCGGCAATCACATGATGTTTTTAAATAAAAATATTAAAAATTGAAGCCTAGCATTGTGACGCTGTCACAGTAAGTAGTAATTATTATTATTATGTAAATTACTGTTTTAAAGTATTCTGTTTCCTGTTTTCATTACTTGTGCATTTAATTCAAAAATCATTTACAAATCTTCTGTCAACAATTTACGGATTAACGGCAGCACCACTCATTGTAGACCAGTGATGTGCCATCCTTGGAAGCGGTAGAAGTGCCGCTTCCCTTGTATTTTTTAAAACAAAGACATATTGTGTGATTATTTTCATATTTTAACGTACTTTAAATTAATTAAAATTAATATTTTATTTTAACCGCATTGGGTATTTTATTACAAATTTCTATACTGTGTGTGAAAAAAACGACAAGATTGCTATTGTATATTCAAATATCAGTGGAGGAATGGAAGCGCTGTATTGTCGAAACCGGATCAGCTTCCAAGCAGCCAGATTATATGCATTCGCACATGCGCTTTACATAGCACCAACAACACGCGGTTTAGCTGGTGGAAGCTACACACAACATTTCCAATGATTCTATCTAGGATTGGTTATGGGCTG